TTAGAAATGTTTTGAAACTAAAAGAATACCTCGATAGTTTATTGAAAAAGGGAAAGACATCTAAAAGGGGAAAAGGATTTTAGGAATGTGTTGCTGGCCCACAATTTTAAGTCTACAACCAAGATAAAGTTCGCTTAAATATACGACCAAATGAAACTATAAAACACACCGAATCCTTTATCACTTGATATAGAGAAATCCGACATTAATGAATGACTTAAATGTTATTTGACCGCGAAAATCTAATTGTTTCAACAAAGTAATTTTATTACCGTTTCTCCAAAATTTAAATTACCAGTCTGACGAAAAAACAATTTACTACCAACTGTACAGGACACCTTCATAAAAATAAAACCCTCATAAATAATTTTATCTGTTTTAAACCGATAACTAACAATAATTACATTTTAAAAGTTTAAACATTAAAAAAATTATAATTAATCAGCACAATATTATAAGTTAAAAAAGAAAATTTATTTTCAGCTATAAAACGATATGTAATAAATACTACCAGAAAATAAGAAATTTTTGACGTGTTTATTTCTCTTTCATTACTTTTTAAGTACGCGATTATTGTTATTCACACATTTTATTTAAAGGTATCAACAATTTTGTATCAAATGATTTATAAACGGTCACGGACGGATGTACGGGAGGAGGGGGGCTTTGAGGCTGAAGCCCTCTCTCCCCCCCCTCCCCCTCCCAAAATAGTAAAATATAACCATGTTTTATGGAAAAAATAGTTAAAAATTATCTTCTAAAGTCTTATTGTTCGTGTAATTTCATTTAAAAGGACTTTAGGAATTACTTAAACACCATTTCATATAGGTAGTTAGTTTCTTTTTTTTCCTAAGTAATTATTGTTATTTTAAAGGTGCATTTAGACATTTCACAAATGGGACAAAAAAATATATAAATGGTTATTTCACTATGCAAGTATTTTTGTTTTTGATACTTTCCATCAGTGAGTATCTAGAGAAATAAAATAAATAGATTGGTTTAGCAATAATGTCTAACACACCTTTCGAAATGCACTAATCTATTTACAAAATAAATAAAATTTAAAAGGAATCATAAATATCAATTCTGTTTTATAAGAGGGAATTTAATTATAATTGATTTCATAGAAATCCTATTTCACGAATAGAAACTGGGAGCTTGCTCTGGACTTCACTGCTCAAGGGTTCAGCACTGCAGGTTCAATTTTTTTTTCCTTTCCAAAAAATATTTTTGATAGTTCAAAATTATTTTAAATAAAAATTATTAGGAAATATAACAAGAAGAAACAAAATCAAAGCATGGGCAGACGTAGGTGTCGGATGAGGGGCGAGGCACTTTCTGCCCTCCTAACATTTTATGAAGGAAACAAAGTTTCCCTAGTTTCCTGATATTTCATAGTCAATTACTTAAAAGTAATTCACGAAAACATTGCTGAGCTACTACTTTATATATACCATTCTAATCTTGGTCATTCCCAAAAGTTTTTAAGTACTGGCACTTATTAGAAATATACCAAGATATCTGTACCCCAGAGGTAAAGAATGGCAGGTCCATTTTTATATTTGTTCTGGGTAGCCAATGTTCCATAACTTTGAGCTATTATAATTTGTTTCTTAAAAACTAAGTCTGTACTCTGAAGGTATAGGACACCATATTGTATTTTTATATTTGTCCAGGGAGCCAGTTTGTTATAACTTTTAGCTATTAAAATTCGTTTCCAAGTTACTAAATGACTCAATATAAAAATGGACATGGTGTTGTTTATCTCCAGAGCACAAACATAACTAGCACAAATACAGCTTTCTTCTATTTTCCTAGCTTATCTCAAGAATGACAGGGTATGGGTGGTTTTTTCTCCGCTTCCAACACGAAAAAAATTAACATAAAGTTTTAGTTTCATGTTGGTTGTTAGTATTTCAAAATTCTGTAAGAAACTAATTACAAAATAAAAACTAATTTCCATCCTTAAATTAATAATCTCCGTGAACAATTCTCCCCTCCTTCAGTATACTCTCTTGCTTTCTACATTACTGAAATCCTGAAAAACCTCTAGAAATGTTAAATTGAAGATTTATAATGTTTTGATAAATTCGGTTCTGATATACTCCTGCAAGACTTAGATTGTAACCAGTACCTATAAAGAATAATTGTAAGATTTGAGAAGAAAGTGATGTGGGATCAGAATACTTATGCATAGGAGAGAAAGACCATCAAAGTACTGTTTACAGAAACAGGTCAGTCAATATCTCATGATAAAAGGTTAGCAGTTAAGATGGGTAGTACATGTATCTGAAAGCAATCCATCAGGAAGTATCTAGACAACGGTGAATGCCACAATTAAGGATGTCAAATGTTGTGATAAATTAGTTCTGATATACTCCTACAGGGCTTGGACACAGCACACTCATTCAATCATTGCAACATAGAGTTGTATACTGTAAACTGGAAAGCTGCTGTTCCAGATAGACAGAGAGGGGAAAGATTAGCTCAGTTAGTCAAAGAACTACGAGGTCTGTAAAACCAACAGGAAAATAAATCGGGTGCAGTGCGCGCATCACACAATTTTCACTTACTACTCTTTTTTACAGAAATAATTATTTTCAGACAAAGGGAAGTGAAATAAAAATTACAGGCAGTAAGAAATGTTATTTAAAACAATTAATTATCGTGTTTTTCATATTTGATATTTAACTATTTTCTATAGCAGATTGTGAAATGTTTATTATTTCAAATATAAAAATTAAATTGAATATTTAATAGTTTACCGTTGCATTATAAAGGAAGGAGATGGTCCAGAGTGGCGGTCATAAATAGGCTAAATAGTGGTAAAATTATTTTATTAAAAGCTAATGTTTCGACCCGACTTTGCAGGTCTTCTTCAGTTCTAAGTGAAGTCACTTGAGTTTTGCAAAGTCGTGTCACCCCGGACCATCTCCTTCCTTAAAAAAAAATTAAAGGTTCTTAAAAAGAACAAAAATTGAAAATTAGGCATTTAAGCTCTGTTAGAGAACATTAATGAGAATAAGAGCTACATTATATTAAAAACGGCTTAATTTGGCATTGATACAATGAATTTTTAATCAAAATCGTTAGAGCTGTTTTCGTGAAGATTGTAAAATTCATGATACAAAGTGCCACTTCTTGTTAGCCGATTTTCAGGAAAAAGTTGCTGTAACATCTCAGTCATATACATACCATAACGACTTTTCGTTTTTGAGCTAGACTGTTCACATACACACACACTAACTTTTTATGGTAATAAATTATACTGTCATTCTTTTAGTTGGTTACCAGTACTTTCCCATTTATGCAAAAGCTCGCAGCTCAAATCTTGAAATAGAACTTGAAGAAGTTACTGCCACTATGGCATCTATTTAGGCATAAGGAATTTAAAAATATTCCAAAATGTATTGTTGGTGGTACGCCTGGTCCGGGTATCACAATTAAAGTAGTCCCAGGATCTCTTATTAGAGTCACGTGGCGTTTACAAAGTGATCTTGAGTTAATGAGGCCAATTGAATTGGATCTGTTTGAAATCAACACTTCTAGTATAATCGTGCTGGATAGTAGTGCATTGCAAAACTCTTCTTTGTTGAGATAGGGTGGGTAAAAAATAAGGTAGTCATTCAAACATTTTATTTTCCTAAACACCCTTTAAAAAAATAAATGTACTTAAATTGAGATCAGCTGCTCTCTCGAAATCTAAAGCTTCACAATCCCATTTACTGACTGAAAACATAACATAAATTTTAAAATCAATTGATAAAATGAATTAATTAGAAGAAAGGAAAAAGTTTTATAATCAAATAATTCTTCATCTTTATGTAATGAGCCTTAAGTTTAATAATGAATAATGATTTTAAATATAATGAATCAAATGTTCATTTGAGAAAATATAAAATAATAAAAAGAGCTAAATGATTTTAAAAATGGATGGCCAACCCAAAACGTTAAACAAATAATTGAGAAGTAATATAAAGGCTATTTACTCACCCTTCGTAAACAGCTAATAGAACTTCAACAAGATAAAACTAAGAATTTAAGCTTCAGTTTTTAATTTATGCATTCAAGGTATTAGAGCAAATAAGGACACTGCTTAAAAAATGATAATTATCTTTATTTAAAACAATTTACAGTTGACTGTAAGAAAAATGAAAAATACCTAATTCGCTCAGAAAAACAATATTTAACAAATTTGATGGTTAGGTATATATATATATATAAATAATATATAAGTATAAAATTAATAAATAGTACTTGTTAACATAAAACTAGAATTCTGTAATTCGTAAAAAATACTTATTTCTCAATGAATATAAATAACCCTTTTGATCTTAATAAACTAAAAATGCTGTTAAATAATACTTTATTTGTTTCTAAATAATGAATAAAACAAATAGTATAAGAGAGGTACTTTCAAATAATTTTCACTGTAAGCTTTCTATAACAGTTTTATATTTCATGCTGTCAGATGAAATTGACTGTAATAGTTCTGTCTAAAAATGTACAAAAAAAACTTTTTGTTTTTTTGTATTTAATCAACTTACACTGTTATAATTCAAAACTAAATTTTATTGATTTAAATATTGTCAATCCATGAGGACTAAGGCTTTACCATGAATATTTTAAAAAATGTTCCACTGCTTTTATTTTCTATAAATCCAACACCATTGGTTTGGTAGGAACATATGTACATAATTTATATAAGAATTATAATTCTGTGAAGCACATATTTCACTGGTTATGCAAACATATAGTCATAGGAACAAAAATGATTTCCAGGACTACTTCATGACCATGCCATTCCAATTAATACACCCTGCTGAATGTACATTAATTTGTTAATGAAGAATATTAAAGAGCTGAACATAAGGTTTATTTCATTAAATAAAAAAAAAAAAGAATATTCTTTTAATGTGGAAAATTGTATATATAAAAGAAAAGTGGTGAACCAGTTCATGAAAACACAAAATTAAAGAAACAATGTATTTTAAATCAACTTCCTAGCTTTAAAAAATTTAACTTATTTATTTTATGAATAAATAAACAATATAACAATTCTACATACAATATAAGTTTAATCATGAGCAAACAGAATAGAGTAACATTAACTTTGTTCTTCTTCACAATAAGGTAAACAATTTTTTTTTCAAGTAATTCATATATTTTTATATATATCCACTGGGTTATGTTAGTTTTGGAATAAATATATTTAAAAGTAATATTTATAAACGAATAAATTACTTAAAACTAACATTAGATAAGATAATACATAAAATGGTCAGTAAAATTAAATTGGCAGTCATAATATTTAACATTTATAGACATTGGGTAGCCTCCTTCGCATGCTCAGTACTATCAGCCCTCAAGGATTACAAGAATTGTAGTAACAATTATTTATCTTCGATATCCTAAAGTACTATTTTTTCTTCTTTTTAAGATGAAGTGTAAAGCTTCTTTAATTAATTGATAAACACAAAGAAAGCACCATTTGGCAATTTATTGCATTTGTTTAAAAATTAAACATTTCAACATAAATATATATAAAATTACTAATGAATATTAAAAAAAAAAATAACTTTAAATATAAAAATTACATTATGAAATTATGATAGGATGAAAGAACATATAATAATCGTTGAGCTTTTCACTAGATTCGAAGACCTTTAATTGATTTCTCTAAAGGCTGCAACAGAATTCAATACAAGTATTATAAACAATTATTGTAATTACAAAAATAAGAATAGAAAAAAATTTGGCTCCAATGGTTACAACCATTGTAAATCTAGAAACAATACATAGACTTTAGTAGTAGTTACTAAATAAGTATACTTTATTACCTAAAAATCACACAAAATTAATACAAAATTCAGAGTTAACAACTGCCAGCACATTTATCAGACTTAAATCCAAGTCATTTCTAGAAAAATTTAACAGATGTGATTTAAGAGCAATAAAAACTGAAATTTAATCTATCTGAGTAAATAAGAAGTTTAGTGGAAACATAGTAGGAAATGATGCAATATGCTGTATTGAACATCATATTAGAAAAATGAGTAAATTTCAAAATCCAGCCAAGAAATGTTTAATAAATAATAAATTTTATCAACAAGTGCTAGTTTAGAAGGTAAAACTAAGCCTATGTTATAATGGCAATGACTCAAGAAAGAGAAATGAATTACTTTCATAATTTTAAACACCTCACCTTACTTAATATATATATATATTTTTTTTTTTTTTTTTTTTGGTCCTCCTCTTCCTCGCCATTAAGGCTATAGAGGGTTTTCACGGGCTAGGGAGTGTGGGCGGGGGTTATTTAAAAGACTCACTCGGCACCGGGAGGCGAACTCGTGACTATTTTATAAAATTTGATTGACATATCAGGTTGCCGGGCAACAGTGGTGCTGTGCACTTGTGTTAGCCCATTTGGCCACCCTACCCATACCTTACTTAATAATTTATAGTTAATTCAGCAGATTTGAATAACTTACTTGTAAGTCCCATATGACTAGCTGGCCATCAACACCTGATGTCGACAGCTTTCCTACAGACCCGTTACTGCCTTCATAACACCTAAAGTAAAAAATTGACTCGCATAAGAACAAGATTCAAATATTAACTAAAATAATAATAATAATATAATTCATACATACCTGAGGCATGTAATTGTATTTTGATGAATTGTTTCAAGTTCCGTATCAGAAATTTCAAGCCTTGCCTGACGGTCTAAACTCTGGAATTTCCTCATTGCACTGCAATAAAGTAGAAAGGAAACATGAACATCAGTAGTCCTTAGAAATAATACAATGATATACAAAATGAAATTTAATTTTTTGCTATTTAAAAATTTAACCATAATTTACCTTAAGCCTCCAGCTTCTTTCTTTTGAGAAATGTCTAGCTTAAAAGCAAACTGTAACTGACCACTCCCATCTACTGTATACAGCATAGGGCAGCAATCATGACCCTGGATATAAAGAAAATTCCAATAAACACAATGACGAGGCATTGACATAGGAATATATGTTCTAATGTTTATAAATTTCAACTATATCTATTTTATAATAATAATAATGAAGCCAAATTTACATCATTTCATTGATCACAATTCTAGAAGGAAATAAGACCTCAGATTCATATGGACCTTCTATTAAACTCGTAAACAAGATAGATAATCAGAAAATACTAGCAGTCACAGAGGTTCTAATAGACGGGAGTCTGAGCTTTGGGTCTGATCTTTGAATGTAGTGTTATGTCAAGGCCCAAGTCTAGAGAGTGCAAAAAATGGAAAGTGTTGTAAATTAACTTAATCACAGGGTCTAGGGAAAATAACATTGAGCACAACTTGAAAACTGTAGATGTAAAAATAGTGGCGAACAGGCCCAGATATCTGGTTTTTTTTTTTTTTTTTTTTTTCCAGCAAACCTATGGTTTCTCAACTTATGTGTTGAGATTTCAAACAGTAAATAAGTTCATTTGGGAAAGGATATTGCCTAGCACTGATTATTTTCAACAGCATGAAATAAACCTCAATATTCCTATATTAAGAAACAAAAAATGAAACTAAAGGTTAATAATTCACATATGAACCTCAAACAATAATGTAGATAATTAAGGTATAATTGTACCGTCAAATAACTAAAATACTGATTTAAAAGATACTAAGATATTCTTTAAAAGCATATACTTACTGAAACAACTATGGCATTAGGTCCAACCCAGAGACAACTCAGAAACGGTAAGAATTCTGTACGGAGCTTGTGAACTTGGGTTCCCTTTGTAATGTCAACAAGACAGATGGAAGAGTCCTGGGATACCCAACAAAGCCTATTCCCATCAGCAGAAAAACTGACCCCTTGGATCCAGCCACCTTTTGTAAAAAATCATTTATTAAACAATTAGTAATAAAATAAAAACTATTAATACTCAAGAATAAAAGCAATTTTTGATCTAATTAATAGCAAAAATTTATTATTTAACTAAATATTATCAAATGAACACATTAATTTATTTCCAAACAACGATCAAATCTAATTTTAAATAAGCATTCACCTCCCAACGGAGAATTTGAAAATTCAGCGAGGATATGGCCAAGTCCAGCTTTGTTTCCCCACTTAGTAGTCGCTGAAGACTCTTCAAATTCTTTGACATAACAGGAAAACACTCTAACCTACAATTTTTATTCAAAAATTAGAGAAAAAAAAATGATAAAATGATTAAAAAATGGAATTGAATTTAAAGAAAAACCAATTAAATAATGAATGCTAAAGCAAAGACATTGTTGCTGTTAAATTAAAAAGAATCACAAATAGAAAAAAAAGTCAAATTCATTTAAATTAAAACTTTGAAGTAATAAGTACAATCACAAGATTTTTAGATTTGATATTTTTATTGTACTAATTAGAGTGGAGTAGCTCAGTGACTAAGGTACAGAACTTTTGTTCTCTTAGGAATGGGTTTGATACCAGCTATGGCAAATAATTATTAATTCTGTCACATTACAGGGTGGCTACCAGACAGTTAAAGTAAAATTCCATGACTTTTCCGTAACATTTTCCTGTTTAATGATAGTTTTCCCTGACCAATATATCTGGCGACATAAATATTAAAAATGCCTAATTTATAACTAAATTTACTTATAATATATAAAAGAAAATTGACTACAAAATGACTTAAGTAAAAAAAAAAATCAGATTATTAAATAACAAATATATTGTTTTGGAAGAAGCATTTTTGAAGCTTGTTCAGGACTTTTTACTTTAGGAAACTAAACTTTCAGTAATTAATTTTTATTACTATAATTTTATTTTTATAAACTGGGAGGAGGTAAAAGTTGGTACTCTGACTTCCTCTATAATAAAATAAAGCGAACCACAGGAAATTCTAATATTAATGTAGTTTCTCATAAGTAATTTAGTTTCTTTATAACTATAAACAGTATAATAATTATCCATATTGTCGGCACCATGTTAAAGTAAAGAATGTGAGCCTATTCACAATCGTTACTTCAACACGGTGGTGAGGATATGACAACAACTGCGACATTGCTGGTTAATAAATGATCTTTTAATCCTAGAGTGGTTCCATTGGACCCCAGGAGATATGTTTTGCTCTGGCAAATATTCCTGATTGAACATTTACTTCTTCCACTCCTGGTACCTTCCTATCCTTGGCAAACCTTTACATATCAGTATTCCGTCTGACATTGATTCATGCAGGTTTTGAGGTATTGAGCTCTTGGGACCCATTGGACACCGCGTGACCTGATTTGACTATAAATTTATGAGTAATTTTTTTTTTTTTGTTTATCTAAAATTGTATTTTCTTTCAACAACAGATTTAAGTTTTTGTTTCTCATTTAAAGAAAGACTCAAAATATAGTTATTAATAATTTGTGGCTTTCAAGTGATTTGGAAAGTGAACAAATTGTAAACATGTTTCTTCTTCTTTCCTTCCAAGAGAACTTCCTTCTAGAATTACCATGTACCTTGGGTTATATGAGGAACAACCTGAAAATTTATCGGAAACTGAAAAACAAGCAAAAAAAAGGGAAAGATGCAAAATTTGTCCTAGAAAATTGGACAAGACAAGAACTCGCTGCTCGAAGTGCAAAAAGTTTACCTGTGGAAATCATGGTAATTTTTCTGCAACGTCTTTGTAAAAATATGATGTTTTACTTTCACTTACGTATGTATGTAATATATAGTAAGGATAAGTATTGCGATCATGAACATTTTTGAATCTGAGTTTTCAACGGAAATACATGTTTTGGGGTACCCTGAGTCCAAATAACCAAGTCCAGAAAAATGGTATGTGTGTCTGTGTCTGTGTATGTTAGCAGTCTAGCTAGAAAACAAAAAGTCATAAGGAACTGATTTTACGTATTTAAGATAGGTACATGCCTTAGATGTGACAGCAACTTTTCCTTAAAATAGGCTAACTGGAAGTACCACTTTATATCAACGGAGAAACATAATTTTCTCAAAAGCAGCTATAACGATTTTGATTAAGCTCGGTGTATCATTGTATAATTAAGTGGTCTTTAATATCATTTAGGTCTTAGCCCCGCCGATGTCACTTTACAGGGCTTAAATGCCAAATGTTCGTATATGTCTTTCTCTAAAGTACCTTTAATGAAGTTCATTTTAAATAATTAACTATCTCATTATTAAAAGTAAGGAAAAAATGATAAATATAACTTTTGAAAGAATTTGATAATTGAATTAAGGAGAAAAAATAAAAATGATTATTCAGGTCGAAAATGAACCTCAGGAAATAACAGTCAGAAGGTATACCTATAATATATCGTTGGAAAGCAGAGAATTTTAGAAAAAAACAATATCTAATATAAAAAGTTGTAGAAGGTAACAGAGAGTAGCGTAAAAATTATAAATAATAATTTTTTAAAACTAATAATATTTAACATAAATCACCGATAGTTCCAAAGGATGATCAGTACTGTTATTGACAGTCAAAGGTGGATAATATAGCGACCATAGGCGTTTATAAGGTAATGATATCCACTGTACATTATTTTCAATTAGAAAAAAAAAAATTTACATAATAAAAAAATGACGTGACTTTAACAATTTTTCCCTGACTTCGCCCTGCCCTGTTTTGAAAATTTCTTGACTTTTCCAATTTTTCCAGGTCGGTCGCCACCTTGCATTAGCTATAGACCATGGAGTTGGTAGAAACTCCTAGGACACACCCAACCGCTACACCGTGGTATCCTTAATTGGGGAAAAAGTTAACTGTGATCAGAAGCCGTGGTGGCCAAGCACATTAAAGTGTTGAACACTTTATCATTCTCAAATCTTATGGTGCAAATTAGAATCTCGCCTAGATGAGTTGAAATTTAATTCCTGGCAACTCCACGGAATGAATTCCTCCGGTTAGAATATGTATTGTTATAACTAAATAATTCAGTACCACAGAAATAAGGCATAATTAATTTTTTTTTTCTTTTTGTATTTGCATTAAAGACCATGTAGATTTTCTGCCTCCTTAACAAGCCTGCTCCATCTCTGCCTTTCTTGGGCTATTTCTTTCCATTTATCTGCAGACAGCTCTGTTACATCTTTGTTGATTCTATCTATCCATCTGCTTTATGGCCTTCCACATGGGCCTTTGTCTTTTATTAAGACATTCATTGTTAGGTAGAGACTTCCAGATGGATTGCTAGGAGCTACATGCCCTGCCCATCTTAACCTCTGTACCTTCATATCATGGGATACTGATTGACCATTAAGCAGTTCCTTATTGGTATTTCTTCTCCATATGTTTATTACTCTGAATCCAGATCGCTCCGGTTATCGTGCAGAGGATTTTCCTCTCAAATCTTTCAACACTTTTTTCTAGGGTGCTGGTTAGTGTCCATGTCTCATAGCCATATATTACAACTGGCTTTATCACAGCATTGTACACCCTTAGTTTGAGATTTTTCGGGATTTCAATACCTTAGAGAGAAAGAAGAAAGCTTTGTTTGCGCTAGTCTATTTCTGCCCGTTGGTCATTCATTGAGGTTATTGTGAAGCCGAGGTATTTGAATTTTTCTACTCTCAGGAATGATTTTCCTTCTACACAGATCCTGTTATTGGGTAAGAATTTTCCGCTTATAATCATATATTTTGTTTTGTCTTCATTTACTTGTAGGCCGATCTGCTCTGCCTCTCTTATCAGTGTTGTAGCGAATTTCTTAATGTCTTCTTGATTACTTCCAAGGATAGCTATATCATCTGAGTATCCAAGAATTTTATGATTCATTCCGACGTGGACACTTCCATTTTCTTGTGATGCTGCTGTTATTACCTTCTCCAGGGCTGTTAAACATGATATTCCATCTCCCTGTCGTAAGCCCGTTTGAACTTTATAGGCTTCAGATTTCTCCTTGAACTAGGACTCTACATTTGGAGTCATTTGTACATGCCTTTGTCAATCTCACCAACTTAGCAGAAATTTCAACTGATCTAGCGTGCTCCTCCCTTTTCTGAATCCAACTTGCTGATTACCTATTATATTCTCATAATACGGATATATCCAGTTAAGTAGGATATTGGTCATTATCTTGTAGACAACCAGAAGCAGTGCTATGCCTCTGTAATTACTACACTCATACATGGAACCTTACTTTAGAATAGTTAAAAATTATGGGCTGTAAAATTATTATAAGTGATTAAAGTAAAGTATTGACACATAAATGTAAAAAAAAAATCAGTATGAAAAATAAGAACCTACCCTGAAATCTGTTGAGCCAGAAACAAGAATTGTATTGTTGGGATGCCAGTCTAAACATGTGACCGTAGATTTAATGGTTTTTTTAATATGCTTTGATACCCACCAATTGTTACCTTCATTAAAATAGCATACTGAGATCAACTTTGCCCCAGAACCCACAGCAAATTTATTCTCTGAAACAGAGTTATATTAAAATATAACTAATATATTATAAATAATATTAATATTTTAGTAAAAATATATATAACTAATTTTAAAAGGTACACAACCAATTTCCAAAGTATTGGGATCCTTCAAAGTTTTATTTCAACCTTATCAGCCCACTTTCCATAGATTATTCTAGCTATCTCAAATCTTTCTAATTTTTTTTTTTATAGGAATACTATGTGGAATTTTCTTTATGAGGGATCATTATTCTTTGCTGCTGATTTTACATAGCTGAATTATCTTGATTGCTTACGAGTATCAAAGAACTGAATGAAAAAGGGCTCGTTCTTTTCTACTTTTCATGTATTTTACACCAACATAAGAACAACTTCCAATATTTTATGAAAATTGTGTAGTTCGATTTTCTAGATAATGTCAGGTTCTCTTATACTACATATGCTAGTATAAATACCTCATTATTCTCAATTAATAGGATTAAGGAACAGCACACCCGATCATTAGCATTCCCAAAACCACTTGGAAAAGCCTGTAAATGCTATCTTATTAGAAAATATGGTTTTGAGACATTGTGATAGATCTTGACCTTCCGGCATACACAAAAATACTAACTAAACATGTTACTTAAAACATTACATGTTCGTCATAACAATACAGTAAAAATTAAACAAAATATTTAGTTCGTAAAATAAAAAATATACTGTTTAATTTAACTTAATTATAATTTGTTTTTTCATTTACAGTCTTTTGCAATGTGGCTACCGATTTATTAAAATTCAATGGAATAACGTCTACTTAACAGTATTGACCCTTTTAGTGCTTACTGAAAGTAACATACCTATGCAAAAAATACTGGATTGTTAATGATAATTATGCCTAATGAACTTATTTTTAAATAAATTTCTCTCGCAATTACAATAAAAAGAAGTCATCACACACACCATATATCATTTATATCAGCTTTCGACACTAAAAGCGTCAAGAAAATGTTTCCATTTTATTAACTAATATAGTATCATTACCTTTATAAACTTACCTTCAGGAGACCACTTAACACAAGTAGCTGCTCGATTTAATCGTAAGAAAACAATAGTTGGTTTCCATTTGCCATCTTCACATGGTGACCATACATAGGCATTACGATCCTGAAAAAATATTAAATACATTGTAACAGAATAAAATGTATGACTACAAAATTTAGTTGGTGGTACATTTGATTTGGTTTGAAATCATAAATCATTTGGATTATCTATCAATATGAAGATAGTATACACAGATAAATAAACTCAAATAATCAGCCTTTATACAGATGGTACTTTGGCTCTTATACTAAGCTATTTGGGCCAGATTAACAGAAGAAATCTTTGGGATTACGATATCCTTAAGATTTTTACAATATTTTCTGAAGAAGTTTAAACCTCCTCCAACACATGTCTTCCAGTCTTCCATGTGCTCAACACTCTTAAAGGCACAACTGATAGCGAATCACTATCAATTAGCACAAAATATACCTAGGCCAATTACAGAAGACCAAGCTGTGCAAGAGCGGAGAAATGTGGAGAACAGAGAAATAACGATCGCCATTACAAAACGATCAAGGTAAATCACGGTATCGATTTAATGCATTGTAGCAGAGCAAAGTTCATATAAATAAAAATACTGCTCTAAGAGTTAAATATCAATGAAAAATTGTAAATGTTATAATGAACAAAAATATTAGAAATATTTATCTACTTTGTTAATTATTTACAATAAAAAGTATCTATTAAATAAGTATCTAAACAATTAATAACATCTAGTTTTGAAATGGAGACCAAAAATAGTAATTAATGCAAGTAGGCTATTATAGCTATAAGTCTGAATTATTGGTAGAATTATGATTTTTAATACTTTGAATATTCATAGTTCAAAAGTCTGATAATTACTGCTAGACATATAAGTATGTGTATATAAAACAAACAAAAAATAATTATTTTGAAACTGACTTCTTATTGTTAAATGTAAAAAGCAATCTCTCAATATTATTTGATAAGTTGGTTTCATTATCTTATCACCTATCACAGGCACCTATCATGTTTGTTAGCACACAAATAAACACACCTAAAAAACATTCTTTAGTAGTAATTACAATAATATTAATATAAGGAAAATATGGACAAACAAAATATACTGAATTTCTAAAAATTGTGATACTGCATTGAACACATTCATCAAACAATAACTTATGACAATGAAATTGTGTTTTAAATTTATTTATTCAATAAAATTAATACCATCAGAATAAGTTTATATTTAGAAATGTTACAATATGATGATTAAAAATTTTCAATAATGCTTATCTTGTTATTCGAAATTATTACTTTTGATAGATGTTTTACAATAACACTGATACTTACTGCTGCACAGGTTACGATCCTATTAGTTTTAGGGGCCCAGTCTATGCCTGTAACTCTTAGATCATGCTGATCAAGTACATCAGTAAGTTGCCATTCACCGCTACTCCTATTGTACACATGAACTTCATGGTTATTGGGGCTCAAAGCGATTCCTAAAATTGTTTCAAAAGATTAATCAGAGAAAATCTACAATTAAAGAACACAAAAATAGATCAAATATCAACAACACAAATAGAAATAAAAGTGAGCTTGATAAACTCTAATAAAGGATTATCGAACTCAATTTCCAAGATAATAATTATAATTTAAAGACAGTAAAATTAAAAGGTTACGAGAGTTGAACCATCAAGACAACTGAAGGAAGAAAGTGGAACATATAACATGAAAGATTAATAGCACTAATTTACTGTTTTAAATTATAGGAATTACTAAAGCCTTTGAACTTCAAACTATTTAAATTTTAACAATAATTAAATAGGAAATAGATAAATGAGTCACTGTGAGTCATGCATTCATACATACAGAAGATGGTTTAAATGATTCCTTTTAAAAACAATACTCAAGTTTTTTAAAGAATGGATATAAAATTTCATTTACTGCTTCAAAATTGTCTTGCTATAGTCTCAAGTATTCTAGAAACAAATTTTTATAATGAAAAACCAAATTAATTTCCTTATCAGGATGTAATCTGATAAATAACCTGGCAAATGAAAGTTATGGCTGGAGGTACACTTAAAATATAAAGCACATTAAAATCATCGAAACTTAATAAAAACTTTCTTATCTTAATCAAAACTTAGAAGTCAGCACTATCTTGAATTACAACCACTAATATACAAAATTGAAAGGTTCTGTAATACTTACGTGTTCTATCCTTGTTCCAAGAGTGACATGTGATAGGATGAACACCAAAACTATATTTTTCACACATGTCAAAACTAAGAATAAGTTACATAAAAAAAAAAATTAAAATATTAATACAATTGGAAGCCCAAACCTAGGCTCCTTCTCAGGTACTTGTTACAAGTTTGGTATCGATTCTTCGATATTCATCTCTAGGAGGTAATTCACAACAAACAACTGTTGCACCTCAAACTTGTCAAACATTCTTTACAACAATGTTGACTATTTTGCCTTTCGTTTCTTTTTCATTATAAAATAATACAAAATGACTTAATTTAAGATTAAATTAATTCATAAATCGCTAGTTTAGTTCGTCAGGGTTCTCACTGGTCTAACTTTAATTTTTATAAAAAATGCAACAGGCTATCAAGAAAGCGTCCATAGCGCTGGTAGGTCCTGCATGGAAAGTATGCAAGTACTGGTACGCAAACTACAGGCGAAAACCAAATACAGAATCATAATCCGCCCAGTGGTACTATAAGGCTCAGAAACTTGGACAATGACCAAATGCAATGAACAGATCCTTCCGGTGTTCGAGCGAAAAATCCTTCGCAGGATATTTGGAGGAATGTTGGTGGATGGAACCTGGAAGAGATGCATAAAGCAGGATGTTTAATGGTAATTTAATGACTCAAATGGTTAAACTAGACCGTTTACGGTGGGCGGGGCATATGGTGGGCATGAGTGAAAAAATTTTGCCCATGAAGCTTTTGACGGAGGCTCTCTATAGAACGAGAAGACGAGGAAGACCGAACCATACATGGAAAGACAAAGTTACAGCCGGCGCTTGGAAAATCGTTGGCGTGCATAACAGGAGGGCAGCTACATAGAACCGTAAAGTTAAAGGCCCGGACCCTGCAACAGGTTGTTATGCCGAAATAATAATAATAGTTTTATGGAAATTATATTAATGTGTTGATTTAAATGGGTTATATTAAAAAATGTGACAATTTTTACGATAAAATAATAATATATTTTTATTATACAACAACATTTTTCAATGCAGTAGCGAAATAAATTAGAGTAATATTAAATTCAGTATTATTCATGTTGAAAAAAAAATTAAAGAAGGTAACTATTTCTTTGAAGACGAGATCGTAACCGACACAAAATTGATTCAATGCAGTTGGTAGGTGTGAGATGACCCTTCAATATATTTCCTCCAATTATATTGCTAATAATATTGAGCGTGTAAAGGGCCCCAAAACAAAGAAATAATGTATTAAATGATGATGTTTTTTGGTTATGTTTCTGAATATCTGAGTCTTTTGTAGTTTGGTTATCAATATTCTGTATAGTTATAAATTAAATGTAGACGATGAAATTATTTTATTTTAATACAAACCCGATACTTGGAAGTTCACACTCCCCTATCTATGAAAGTACGATCATTGTATGGACGAATGTTCTTCGCTCTCAGTGTAGTCCCAGCTCCATGCCGATACATTTCGCATCAATCATTGTAGTTATTCCTTATAAAAGAGGTTTATTGCATCTCCATAAGAATTAAGATTTAAAACTATCTGAGAAACGAATGAGAAATTTTTTTTGCAATTTGAAATAAGCTACTTATGTTATTTTTAAATAAATACTACCAGTTAAATTAATCGATTACTATTGCATCCTTCTGATTTTATTTTATTCTGTATATTTTTTTTACTTGTTTATTGAAAAATATTAAGGTGTGTTTGGACATTTCACAAACTATGGAAAACACAATTATCTAACTGAAATAATAGCGACTTTAGCTCTTAGCCTAACAGTTTTTTTTTTTATTTCTCTTGTTACGGACAACAGATGGAAAACGTCGAAAACAAGATACAAAAACACTAGCATATGGAAAAACCATTTAAATATTTGAGTTTCCCATAATTTGTGAAATGTCTAAACGCACATTTACAATCTACCTCAATTAAGGACGTTTATAATCGATATCAGAGAAAACATTCACACGATATAAGAATATATATAAGAAAACATCAATAAATTGTTAAATAATAGCGATATAAATTCTGTGTAATTATGAAGTACACGATGAAATTATTTTAGTTTCGTATTTGAACTTTATACTCTACCAGTCCGTGCAAGTTGGTACAATGTAGTTCACCCTGTGTTGTCTCAGCTCCGTACCAATGCACTCCGTAACAACTATTAAAGTTACTACTTATATAAAAACATTGAATAACGATTTTGAGAATCGAATGCTGAAAATTCTTTGAAATTTAGTTTTATAATAAGATCTTTAGTTTTATTAAACTGTAATAATTTTAAAAAATACCTATAATTACGTACATTACATATGGGTATCCTATATCCTTTCCCTTCTTCCTTCTAAAGGAAAACTGTGCCCTAGGTAATTATATATGATATAGGTATAAATCATAGCTAACTCATCTCTACTCGAGCTATGAAGATAGACGACCAAGTTGAACTATCATTATAGATCGTTCTCCCGCGGTTTTAAACACGAAGTTGATTAGTATATTTGATATATGTTTGAATTTTGTCAGATAACACCTGACTTAGTAAAATGAAATCTCTTGCTGTTGATTTCGAAATAAACCCGGAAGAAAAGTTGTTTGAAGAAAGTGTCATTAAAGATGAATGTGTTTATGCTGATCTATCATCTAAATTTAAATTTAGAACAAGAGACTTTTCTCGACAATACGCTCATATTTACACAAAGCGATTGCTACAAATGAAGGATATTATCACCAAAAGAGCGAAACAAAAATGGGGTAACAATTGGAGTATCAATTTAAAAGTAAACAATATATTATAGTTTATTGTTGATTTATTTTACTCAAAACTATAGGTGATGAACTTAAAATTCGAAGGCTTGCAGAACTTCAAGATGACAGTAATTCTAGATGTGTGGTCATTGGAACACTTTATAAGGACCAGGAACTGAAGCCCAGCATCTTAAAAGAAATAAGTGAAGAAGTTAGTATAATAGAATTAAAATGTTTGTAATTTTATTTAATAATAACAAATTTTGTTTTGTAGTTCCAGTTAGTACCTCAGAAGAAAATGGTGCGATTTGTATCTGATACTGACAAAGTAATTTTGGAGGATGAACTTCAAAGGATTGTACTCATTGGTATTGATGCTAGTACCGTGGTTACTGGAACAGTAAGTAGGAATACTGATGTTTTCTCAATCTACTGTATATTTTTCTCTTAACTCATCTACTGTTATCAACATTAGTCAGTTAAACATTGTTTCTTTACTATTAAATGCTACTAATAGTAAATCTATTAACCTGTGTCATATCATCCTTTGAAATAATTTTATCTATGACTTGAATTTATTACCTAAATAATAAGAGGAGAGTGGGGGGGGAGAGTAGTAAAGTAAAGTAGTTGTGTCCAGGTGCGGGTCGAAGAGTATTTTTTTCTATATCACCAAACCTTACATTAATTTATTTAAAAACATAAGTTTTATGTGGTAATACTTTACAAGTGTTGCTCCACTTGACAAGTAGGCCAAGATCTCTTGATCACATTATAAATAGTATTCCTTGAATCTCCCAGGGATGATAATCTCTCTTTATTTAGATCCACATTTATGCCTATTGTAAATTCCCCACTGCTTCTTATCAGTTAAAATTGGGGCCTTAATTAGCTTTCATTACACCTCTGTATTCATAGTCCATATGTACTCGTCCAGTATAGATAATCGAACACCCAACGGCTCCTTTTCAGTTGACCTTAACACATCATTGTTAGTGTGATTATGAGATCTTCTGCCACCCATCAACCTTTCTTTATCATTTATATTTATTAGGATATTAATCTTGGCAAATTGAAAAACTTACTAGTGAAAAGTCGAGGTAAAACAGTGATTTATTGTTAGAAGGGTGTATCCAGCTCAAAAAAACTTTGCCTTGAAAGAGGAGGGAGACAATATTTTCATTTAATTTATTTCATGTAGAAATTTAGTAAATCTAGTTAGCATCTGCTTGACCGAAACATTCAATAATGTTAAAATCGGTAATTATTTATCCTAAAAGTTGAGGTTTAAAATGAGATGATTCCCTTTCACCTGTACTTTTTAATTTATAATAGAACATGATATTAGAGAGGTAATGGGTACAAACAAATATTTGAATCTGGGCGGAACAATATTCGTTCTTGATTATGGTGTTGGTTTGGTCCTGTTAAGCGAAGATATGGAAACTTTAAAACTAAATGTGTTAATGAAAGCCGTTTAAGAATTGAGATTTGAAATCACGATGGATAAAACAAAATCTATGGTTAGCTGCTAAAATGGCGACCATTTCGGTGATTTCGATAAAGAAGGGAATATGTTTAAACAAATAGAGAAGGTATCTAGGGTTTTACGATAACTAGAAAAAACTAAATAAAAGAGGAGATAAGGATTAGGTTGAAGGCAGGGAATGATTGTTATTTTCCTGTGATAAAACTACTTAGCTCGTGCCTCCTCTCCTGAAACTTACCTGTTTGGAAATGGACCTTAAATTTAGACAGCAAAATTAAAGCAATTTTTTCGGCCCTGCAAGCCTTGTCACACTAAGATGCCAAAAATATTGTATTGCTTGTGGATCCAAAGGCGGCTATTCTCGCTGTGTCATGACCCAATGACTCCTTTGCTCAGGGTATTCTTTCAATGTATATCATGTCACTTGGTCTCCATGGCAACAAAATGGCTGATAAACTCGCCAAAGATAGCTCAACATTGACATCTCGACCAGCCAGAAAATCAAATATCGTTTCATAGAGCCAGAAAAGAAATAAATAAGGCAAATTGCTTAATGAAGCAGATCGAGCACCCATAAACCTGCCGAGAAAGAAAGCTATGGCATAGTTCCGTATGATAACAGGCCATGACTACCTTAGGAAACATCTGCATAGAATAGGAGTGGCAGAATCTCCACATTGCAACCTATGTAATTTAGGAGCACGTACGGATGCAACACATTTAAGTGTATGCCCGTGCTTATTGAACATAAGATATACAATGTTGTCCAAATCGGAATGATGCTTGGCTGCAAGGTCTTTGATGGGGGAAGTCGACAAAGAGAGGGATAATTAAAAAAATATATATTATAGTGCAGGTTATCGAATAAAGTGGACGTGTAAAGTTGTTGGGCTTAGTAATGAAAGAATTCCTAAAAGGTTAATATTTGCTGTGCCGACTTGTAAACATCCAAGGAGTAGAACATCCAAACCGAAAGTCGGAAGATTGCATTAAGGCTAATCTGCCAGGGTTGAATTTGGACGGTGACATCTGAGGGAAGGTGTGTAGATAGCGATTGGAGGTGTCGGCATCGAACCTTCCAGTTTGTTAAGCCTTTCATTATTATTATTATTATTATTATTAGGGAGTATAATTTTTCAGAATTAGTTTCTTTCAAATTGTTAAAATAGTTTAGAAAATCTAGTGTCATTTGAGTTATTTTTACAATATGATTATTTATTATTCTGAAACTAACTTCTTGTAGGTATGTGCAGTGCTTGGTGTTGAGGATGCTTCAGGGAAATTTAATGTTGAAAGTATTTGCTTCCCAGGTCCTCAAGCACCTTCTCCTTTTATTCTTCTGCCAAAAAATAGTAATAAGTAAGTTTTTTAGTTAATCCTTAAAAATTATCCCATATTTTGTCTAAAATTATGCTTTTCTTAAACATTAAAATTTCTTTACTTTTATTTAACTTTAGTATTACTTTTATATAAGTGACATTTTATAAAATTAAATCTCAAAGTAATATGATGATTTTTTCCTCAATGAATTCATAATATTAGTCTATTATGCTATATAGTTCAATTAGTCTATTTTTGACATACAATAGGGTTTTTATTATTTTGCATTAACATTAACTTACAAAATTACATTTCTATAATGTAATTTTATGACATTTAAGTTAAGAATATAATGGTTTTGGATATCATTAGTTACGGAAATTATAAATAATAATAATTAGCACAAATTACCAGGCCTATGATAGGGATTGTAAATTTAAAATGTTAATTACTATTAACACAAATTAATAAATGGGTAGATTTATTGTTCTTGTTTCTTATAAGAAAACGTCAGAATACATGAGTAACTTTTTTGCAATCAATTGATGATATATTTTTTTATATACGCAAACATATCCTGATTAGTAATAGATTTGTAATTTGAAAAGTAAAATAAATATGTTTTTGTTAATGATTGTTGCTTCCCCAAACGTGAATATTTTTAGGTATGCACTGCTGTTAAGTGGGCTTGATTTAGCAACTTCATCCGATACACTCCTTAGTCTTCAGCTGCTTATTCAATGGTTGTCTGGATGGTTGGGTTCAGAGCAAGAAACTACCTCTTTTGTTCTTATTGCAGGTAATTGTATGTATTAATTTTTTTTATGAAAAACACTTTATAAGTTTTTAGCATCTAATCCAATTGTCAGTTTTGCAGACCTTCAAAATAAGGTTATTTATCAATTAAGTTTATATTGTAGTTTCTTTTCTAGGTGTAACAAAATATCTGTTGACTTACTTTATAATCTGAGTTAATCAAGTTATATTTGATCAATAATGTTTAAGATGATTGATTTATGTATCTCTTGTAAAAATAAATGGATATTTTTATTAGAAATTCATAAATATTTTCCAGGAGGTCTTTTAAGATCAACTAGTGAAGATTTAGAAGGAAAAATTGTAGGTACCTCTATTGATAGCTCATCTGATATTACTACAGCTCTGCAGTTGGCTGATGAGCTTTTTGCTGAACTTTCTGTAAAGTATTTTATTTAATTAATTATAATTTAATTAAAGTAGAGAATTAGTTATCTAAAATAGCAAAGTATAAGAATTCAAACATTTTAGGTAATTTATGGGTTTAGTAATGTTATAAAAAGCATTTCTTAAAAAACATTTTGTTATTTATGTATCGCACATTAAATAAAATCATTTTATTTATAATATTAACATCAAATTCAATGTTTATGTTGTTGTTCAAACAAAATGTTTATTTAATATAGGGAGATCTTTCTCAATTACTATAAAGATTTAATACTTTAGAGATGAGTAAATAGTTTACTTATCAATTATGACAATGAAAGAAAATCGTCAGGAATTTCAGTCACAATAATATTTATTGGGTTAGCCAACGTTTCGACCCAAACATGTGGGTCATTGTTTTTAAAAAATTAAAAAAATTAATTATAAAGTATGTAGAATAGAAAACATATTGTTTATTTTTAATTGTCAAATTTATAAATTCATCCGTTGTTTGACTATTTATTTGATAGGAAACCATGAATGTTGAATTAATGCCTGGGCAATTTGATCCTACAAACTACTTGCTTCCACAGCAGCCTGTAAATCTTCGTGTATTTCCCAAGGTATTATTAAATTGTACTATTTATTTTATTCTATAGTAAATTTTGTTTATCTATTTTATATGTGCTATTAGATGGATTGGTAAATAAATCCTTTTGGTTTTTAATCGCCAGCTCACCAAGATAACATCCAGTTTTGTGTTTCTGAACTTTTTAGATACATCATATAATCATTTTTTCTTTAGAAAAAATTATTATATTTACTTATTTTCCAACCCGTTGTTTGCTCAAGGGATCTTGAGCTTCCATAACAAGCTATTTTTATAAAGTAATTTGAAGATTTTTTCCATTAACAATGATATTAATGTTTGTTAATTTTTTTTTTTAGTTAATTAATATTTTGCTTTCACAGGCTATGGCGAATAAAACATTTAATGGAGGGACCAATCCACATAAATTCCAAGTAGAAAACGTCCTTTTCACTGGTATGTTTTAATTATATCAAAAAATGTTCTTTATATTTTTAATATTATAAAAAGCATATTTTTTTTATTATTAATTCATAATTTTGTGTGAATTCAGTGAATTCAACAGTTTCGCTAATCATATTCTTATATTCTTTAATTTTAATATAATTCATCTTGATGTTCCATATATTTCTGATTTGGCCTAATCCCATATACCTTTTTTAACATTATTAACTTCAGAACCATCCTAATCCTCTCCTCTGAGGTTCCTAAGGCAGTGAGGGCTTGACACTTGGGTATATGAGTACTGACAGTGACTTTCACTTTTGTGTTTTAACTTTAGCTCCAATCACTTTCAGTAGTAGTGTCGTGGTTGGGAAAAGCTGCTTCTGCCTCTTAAATAAGTGAAATACCAGCTTGATTAGGAGTCCACAAGCTGTGATAGTTATTTAAATATATAGTTATGTTCGTATTTTTATGAAACAATATTTTTAATATGTTGTTTATATGAATGGAGAAAAGAAATAACTGCCATTTTAAATATTTCATTAGATTAGTAAATTAGTTTTATTCCTAAACAATTTATATTATTCTTATATATATATCATATCATAATTTATCCATTATTTTCAAGGAAGCAGTGGAGAACCCATTACTGATATTGGTCGCTACAGTAAGATGGAAGATCCCTTAGATGCATTAGAAGCAACATTTCATTGGGGTCATTTAGCACCTACTGCACCTGATACATTGGGTAAATTTATACAGTACTTGCTGGAATGTTTTATTTTATCTGGAATTAGTAAAGTTTATGTATATATATATATATTTAGCATGTATTTTTACAACTGCAGGGGCTTTATTTTACATTATGTTCTCTAGCTTTTTTCATGTTTCAACATAATTTGGGTTTGTGGTTTGCCTTTGTAAGGGCTGACTTTCTATTTAGTGTTGGAGTCAATAGTAGTGAAATCATATTTCTATTATTTTTAATTATTTCTGATATAGCTAAGCTACTAAAGAAAACTTATCATTGAATTCATGAATCATTGAAAAATTATATTGAATAATTTTTTTTTTTTTAAATATTTATATACTAAAAGACTGAAAACAAAATATGTAGATTATTATCATTTGAGACAGAAGATTATTTTATTTAGGCTTAAGAAAAATAGCCCGCTATGTTTTATCCTTCAGGTGAGATTTGGATTTGAGCATTCATAGCTAAAATTTTTTAGTTTTCAAATGATCACTTTCTGATTAGAATTTCATATTTACTTATTTGTCTTATGTTTTATCATATTGCTAATTATATCTCAAAGAAATTTATGCTGTTGCTCTCATTCTTCCATTTTTCTTTTTTAATGATTATTATTATTTTAGGCTGTTATCCTTATTATGATGAAGATCCATTTGTTTTGGAAGAGCAACCAGATGTATTTTTCAGCTCTAATCACAGTTCCTTTAACTCTAAAATTATTGAGTTTAACCATGGTATGGCTTTATAGTTGTTTTTATAAATGTTTTTACCACATTTCATTTATTTGTTTATTAATTTCAGTTTAGTCTATTTAACACATTATTTTGTGGAGATTAATACCAGTTAAAAGCCCTCTTCCCCCTTCCTTGTCACTGGGATGTAAACTTTTAAGTTAAGGCTTGAATATTGAAATTAGAGATATAAATAGGATCTTGAAAATCCCTGCTTCAATTTAACCTCTCGTTTACATTGCAGAACTTGTTATAACCAATCCCTAGCCTTTTTTTTTTTTTTTTTTTGGGTCTTCCCTTCTTTGCCTTTTAGGCTACACAGGGTTTTCTCAGGCTAGGAGAATTATGTCAAGTTAAAAATTCCACTGGGCAACAGGATTTGAACTCTTAATTGTTTTCCTATGTTAAAACTTGGTTATCAGGTTGCCAGGCAACATGCGTTAGCCTGCTCGACCACCCCACTCCCCCACCAACCCCTAACCTAAGAGCCTCATTTTTTCTTCTTTTGGGTTCTTCACTCAGATGGCCAGGTCAGCAACTTAAATTATGAATTCAGTAATCCCCTAAGGTCTTCTTGGCTTTCATTGAGCTTTCTTTGTATCTTTGTTGGAGAGGGCCAAACTAGACTTCTTTTCTGGGAATAGATCCTGCTTATTTGAAGGATATGCTCCGCATTCTGTTTACTCTCTCTGTACTCACAGAGCGGACAAGAACCAATGGTGATCCATGCCGGAGGGAGGGTTTATGCCAAGTTGAAATTCCCACCGTGTACCAGAATTTGAGCATGTAATATTTTTCTGTCTGTGCACACGCAATAGCCCACTCGGCCATCCCGCCATCCTAGAACATGTTGACTTGTCAGATCTCCCTACATACTGTTTTACAGGATATCGCATATGTAATTGATTAACTTTTGAGTTCCTTATACATTCTAACCTGTACCATAAACTTTAACCACATTGTAATATAAAAGTGATAATGACTAGTGATATAACTTGAATTTTTTAATAATTTTTATTTAATATTTTGTAATACTAATTTAATAATTTAAATATATATATATATATATATATATATATATATATATATATTATGTATATATATATATATATATATATATGTAGTATAATTATCCACTACCACTACTAGTAGATCTATAGGTGATAAATATTCAGGACGCAGTCATAAAGTTTTTATTGGTGCCGTCTTTTCAACCCAAACATGTGGGTCATCATCAGGAGGGCGTGTTTCAAGCACTGAAGGTATTCAAGAATCTGTTAGCAAGAAACGTTGGAACCAATAAAAACTTTATGACTGCGTCCTGAATATTTTTCACCCATGATATGTAGAACATTTGATAAACTTCCTTCTATAGTAGATCTAATGTAATATATGATTTAAATACCAAGGCTTTTCCTTAATGATTGGTTACAGTTGGTTGTTATTAAATTTTCTTAACGGTGATTATTCTGTTTAGGTGATGTGGTTCAAAAAACAGCATTAGTCTGTATACCTTCCTTCAGCAAAACTAAGACTGCGGTTCTTGTAAATCTCTCTACCTTGGAGTGCAGTCCCATTGGTTGTGAAACATAGTTGTTTATGATTTAATTATTTTTAGCTTTTATTTAATTCAATGGTAGAAATAATCAATTGAAAATTTGATATTACCACTATTATTTCACTTTCAAATATTTGTTTTTATTTAAATTTGTTAACTCTTTAAAATTTATTACGTCTTCTCCTTTTTCTGATTCAATAGATATGAAATTTTGAAATATTTAATGAACCATCAAATTTTATGTATATTTTTGCCAGATGTAAAATGCAAACATCTTATTAACTTAAGTTTAAAAATAAATTTTATAAATGTCTGTTGTGTTCTTAATTTAAAGAAGTACTATGTACTGTATGAAAGTTGACACTTAAATGGCAATTATTTTTAAATATTGATTGTTGTACATGATAATAAAGCTTTAACAATATTTAAACAATTGTGTCATTTTTATTATATGTTTGTTCAGAGATATTTTTGTTACATCAGATGATGTTTGTTCCTGAATTATCTTTAAAAATGCTAAAGTTTAATCAGAATAAACTCAATCATTATGTTCTTGTGATCATGAAACATTTATGCAAACTCAATAAATGGCCTCTTGTAATAAGGTGTAATGGCCTGGTGTAATAATGTAAGTATACAAAAAAAGGGGGGTGAGGAGAAAAATAAATTACACGATATGAACCCACAGGTGTGTTATTGATTGAGTTTTGATTTGAATAATTTATTCAATAAATTCTTTATCACTAATATTTTAGTCATGGAAGATCCTTAAAATAACATAAAAGTTCTGTTTTTTTCCTAGAATTAATTATTCAATGAAAATATTTTCTGAATAAATATTTATTGTAAGGAAATATACACTGAATAAAAATTTATATAAAAATAAAATAAAATTTAAATATTCTCTGAATAATCATTTCAAAATATATTTAAATTTTCAGTTTTTTTTCAAAATAAGGGTCCATTGAATTATAAAAAAAAAAACTTGTACCACTACAACCCATGAAGGGTCTTGGGTTCAGCACTATTTAGGAAAATTACTGTTTCATGGCCAACGGTTGTGTAGGGAGGAGAATCGGACCAGGATCATGTTCAACGGAGCAACCCTGCTCCCTCCATTGAATTATAAGGATTAAAAAGTCAATATTAAAACTCCACAATAGGATATCAATTTGTTATTATTATAATAGAATTTTCCGAATCCTTAGACATAAGGACCCACTATTATGTTGTTGGGGAAGCTTTTTATGAAAATAATGTCAGACTTAAGATTGTGCATTGAGTTTTTGTACTTATTGGATTTAATTGATATAAGGGTCTACTAATATGTTGCAGAGGCACATATTATAGTCGAATTTATGATTGAGAATTGTGCAGCAAGTTCTAGTAAATTTTTGGGTTTAATCGATATCAGGGTCTACTATAATGTTGTCAGAGATGCTATTTATCTTAAATGTGAAAGTATTTTCATAAAAAGGACCACTGAAAATATAATAGTGAATCCTTATATAGGTTAAATTAGAAAAATTCGATAGGCAATGATGCAATCCTAAAATTGATGGTATATTATTATAAAAAACGTCACCTCCTCCTCAACATAACAATGGACTTTTATTTAAGAAATCCGAAAATTTTAAAAATAGACAATTTCTATACCATAAACAAAAACATGTAAATTTATTTATGGAATGTTTATTAAGTGAATATTTGTCTTGAATGAATTTTTATTGAGCCAATATTTTTAATGAATACATTTTTATTCAGGTAATATTGCTTAACAAATAAAGTAAGATTATTCTGGTTATTTTTCAATCACTAATGAATAAATATCATTATTTTCAGTGATTGAAATAAAAATGTTCATTCCCTATTCAAATTGCATATCTATATTGAAAAATGGTCTCTTAAGAAATATTTATTACTAATTCTGTTTAAAAAATTAAATTATGAATATAACCATTTTCTGTTACTGGTTGTTTGCTACCTTTTGGGTTTTGTGGCATTGAGAAATTTTTGGGTACTACACCAAATTTCTTTCCGCTTTTAACGCAATCAAAATTTATTCAGTACTTGGGGAGCTAGCCAACCAAGATTTAACTAGTTTACTTAGCAAATTGTTACATAACTACAAGCAATCAGGCTAACCACATTATCCTCCTTATGGTTAAACCATAATCAGGTAAAATATAAAAAGAAACATATAAAAAATGCTTTTTATTTATTTTTTTAATAAATAAATATATAGTTTATATTACAGTTCAATTTATTTGTTTAGGTATGGTACATACATACTTGAATACATGCATTTATTTAATGAAAATGTTATTCATAGTATCACAGAAAATCATACAGTACACTAAAGTAAATTGTTTGTATTAAATATTATACCTACTTTATACAAATATAAATAAATTACATAAAAATAATACAACATTAAATTTCTCATTCGATAAAGTATGCTATACATTTAATTCGTTTAAAATAATAAAATCATCTCCAAATAAATAAATAAAAAAAAAAGAAAAAGAATCAAGCTATTTCAGAAGAAGATTTACAATCAGGTGATATTACATTAATTGATTCTGTATTACCAACAGAGGTCTTTCTTCTCTTTTTAGCACAATTTTTTACTATATTATTTCTTTTCATAAAACTCTTCATAACCTGTGGAAGTTCAAGTTCTATGATTTTGTCAAGTAACAGTTTCTCTCGGAGCGCCTCAGCTTCTGCTTCCTTTAACAAATTAGGTAAACTCCGCCTTAATCCATTACGATTTCGTTTACGCCCATTTGGTGTTGAGAATCTTTGTCTGAGTACTTGCTTTGGGATATCATTTTTTTTGTAAAAATAGTTAGGTGTCGTATGATCCTCAGTTTTATTCTCTTCATTGTTTAATTCAATATAGTTGGACAGCTGTTTATTACTAGATTTTTCTCCATTAATGTCAGATTTTAATTCTCCATGGAGGACTCCTTTGATATTACTAAATTGCTGATTCTGTTTCAGGACAAATTTACCTTCTTCATCACTAATTTCAATACAATCAGATGGCATAAAATTGCTGGATTTCTTTCTGTTAATGTCATATTCTAATTTTTCATGAATACCCTCTACAATTGTAATATCTTCTTCATCGCTGATTTCAACACAATTAGACAACTCTTCATTCATGGATTTTTCCCTCTTAATGCCAGATTTTAATTCATCATGGATGACGTTTCTACTATTAATAGAGTATTCGTTGAGCTGTTTCGAAGTTTGTTTACCTTCTTCATCATCAGTGATATCCACATAATCAGATAATGGCCGAATACTTGATTTCTTCCCCTTATTGCTAGGTTTTGATCCTTCATGAAATACTCCTCTGATATTAGTAAAGTGCTCATTTTGCTGTTTTACAACCAATTTACTTTCTTCATTATCAGTGATATCCACAAAATCAGATGATGGTTGAATAATGGATTTCTCCTCCTTATTGCCAGGTTTAGATCCTTCAAGAAATACTTCTCGGAGATTAATAGTGAGCTCATTTTGTTGTTTAGTAGCCAATCTACTTTTTTCTTCATCAATGATTTCAACACAATCAGATGAATTTGTATAACTGGATTTATCCCGTATAAGGTCAGGTTTTAATTCTTCATGAAATACACCTCTAATATTAATAAAATGCTCATTTTGCTGTTTTATAACCAATTTACTTTCTTCTTTATCAGTTATATCCACAAAATCAGATGACGGATGAATACTGGATTTCTTCCTACTATTGCCAGATTTTGATCCTTCATGAAATACTTCTCGGAGATTAATAATGTGCTCATTTTTCTGTTTTAAAACCAATTTACTTTCTTCTATATCAATAATTTCAACATGATCAGATGAATGTTTATTACTGGATTTGTCCCGTTTAAAGTCGGGTTTTAATTTTCCATGGATGACATTTCCATTATTGATTAAGTGTTTCTTGGACTGTTTCAAAATCTGTTTACTCTTTTCTTCATCAGTGGTATTCAGATCAGACGACAAGTGAATACTGGATTTCTTCCTACTACTGCCAGATTTTGATCCTTCATGAAATAATCCTCTGACATTAATTAAGTGCTGTTTTGCACCCAATTTACTTTTTTCTTCATCAATGATTTCAACAAAATCAGATGAATTTTTATTACTGGATTTCTCCCGTTTAAAGTCAGGTTTTAATTCTTCATGAAATACACCTCTGATATTAATTAAGTGTTCATTTTGCTGTTTTACAGCCAATTTACTTTCTTCTTCTTTATCAGTGATATCCACAAAATCAGATGATGGTTGTATTATGGATTTCTCCTCCTCATGGGCAGGTTTAGATCCTTCATGAAATAGTTCTCGGAGATTAATAATGTACTCATTTTGCTGTTTTACAACCGATTTACTTTCTTCTACATCAATAATTTCAACATAATCAGACGAATGTTTATTACTGGATTTGTCCCGTTTAGAGTCAGGTTTTAATTCTCCATGAATGACATGTCCATTATTAATAAAGTGTTTGTTGGGCTGTTTTGAAATCCGTTCATCCTCTACTTCATCAGTGATATCCACATAATCAGATGACGTTTGAATACTGAATTTCTTTCCCTGATGGGAATTACAGCCATGTTTTGACCCTTCATGATATATTTCTCTGACATTAATTATTAACTCATTTTTGTTGCTGTGTTTCAAAACCTCTTCACTTTCTTCATCTGTGATTTCAACATAAGAAGAAGAATTAGCACTGTTGTGTGCCAGTTGATAACAAGCATAAAGTTGCACCCAGACAGATCGGACTAAATGCGGACTCACATAGAATTTCAACACATCCTTAACAAAAATCTAAAACAAATAAGTAATAAAAATAATTCATTTAATACATTATTTGATATAAAAAAGTTAAAATTGAACTTATTTTAAAGTTTCATGTTAAGGTGTGATTATAATCCAAAACAATAACATTTTTTTACACACTTTTTAGGGGTCAAATAAGACAGAAGTACTTTTTACATAATAATAAATCAACTTTAATTCTGCAAATCTCACTGATATAGTATTTTTAGCACCTTGAAATAAAAATTTTGAACAGCAAATTTCAAAACAGCCAAGTAAAAAATACAGTATTTGAATATTTCACAATTGTATTGCATCAATTCTTGCAGCTTGAGTTCATTATTTTTCATTTTATTTTATTTTAATTTGAGTTCTACCAAAGGGTAGTTTCTCTTCATATTGTACATGTCATGTTACCAATGTCACATTTACTTGTTGTATTTTTAATGTAATACAGTTGTAAATTTCATTAAAATAAAAAAATAAAATAAAAATTTTATTTTGTTGCTAGTTGTATTAATAAAAGAAAATACATGTTGGTGAGGCCAATTACACATGATTAGATGTGTGGTTTATGAACATGGGATTGAATATTATTTACACCAATCTGTAAACCGAACTTCCTTGTGAACTGTGTTTTTGCGGGTTAGATAAAGGTTGACACGAACTATTTTTGAATTAATAGTGCACAACAGTTTTTTTATATATATATATATATAGACAGCAAAATAAATAGAAATCTAAGTTATTCAAACTTCGATAGTCTAAGCATGCAAAAAAAAAATAAAAAATAAGGCCCAAAAAATGAAAAGCTTCAATTGAACTAAAAACCCATGGTAGATGGAACTGACACCACAAAGGTGAGGATATCCTCACTATAATATAATGAGGTTTGCTGGATCATCTAGGATTTAATTAAAAACCAGGCAGTTTGCTACAGAGAATTGTTTCCTATTTGTTATAGCAGAATTTCCTCATTAGCTAGAATGGACTATCAAAAAGTGAGAGAATTAGTAATAATAATGCCTTGTAAACAACCTCAGTGCAACCATTCTCATATCTTTCTCGGATATAAAAATTAATATAACAACTTTATTTATTGAAAATTTACTAAATAAAATATAACTAATCAAATATATATAATTTAAGAATACATACCTGAAAATCTTCCCATTTTTTGGGTATTTGGTTTTCAACATACTTAGACAGTGCTGTAATCAGTCTTAGTTCCTGGTGACGGTAGCGATTTCTTAATACTTCTGGTTCTAATATTTCAACATCACTGAAAAAAATCATAAATTATTTTCAGTAGATAGCTAATACAAGTCTGAAGGCTAGTTGATGGGGTCGATGGCATAAACTTATTCTTTCTGTCATTCTAAAACTGAAAAGTCTATGGATAAAGTAGGCTACACAAGATAATTTAACCAGATTTAGACTATATTAGGATTACAATACAATGGCAATATTTTTTTGGTAAGGCTCGCTAACTCAATTCCTATTTAACTTTTCTAATCTTGGTATTGATTAGTTAATTTAAATCTAAAAGTAATTCATCCTTAACTCACCAAGTTAGAGGTGCACAGAAGAGGGTTTCATAGTGCAAGTTGTGCCATCAAAAGTTTTGAATATTTGGATGGAGCACATTCCAATGGGATTATGAATTTTCTAAATGAAAAGTTTTGGGAATAGAACAGACCAATGAAAATGTAATTATATGTGACCTATGATTTTTAAAATTATACTTTGGTTTGCTCTGTTTTTATGAAGATGAGAGCAATAAAATATCTTGGGAGGAGAGAGGGAGGTTCTTCCATAATAATAGTTCTGCTAATTTTTATTCTGAAATATATATGTGTGTGTATCTTTGTACATCACTTAACATGACATGGAAATAATTCTGTAAAACTTTATGACCTCAAAGAAAGCAAATTAAACATTTTATATTGATTAATAATTACTTAAATTAAACAGCATATTATAGAAATAAACACAGTAGATATTTAAAATATAATTGGTGAAAGAATCATTTACAAGATGTTCATAGGCATTAACAAATACCTATGACCATATCTCATAGGTACTTGACAGGAACCTTAATGAAAATACTTCCACGTTTAAAAATTATTATATAAAATGCTTGTTCAAGAATACCGAAAATAGTTCATAATGAGACAGACAGGCATACAAAATCATAAAAACTGTACCTGTCGCTATCGTCCGTACGTATATCCATTCCTGATCATGAGTTAGAAAAAATGATTCCCTTTCTATAAAGGGATGCATTATAATTACTAGAAAAAACACAATTAATCATCCATTCTGCACTCTAAGTTCAAAAAGAAGTAACCAAATGAAAACTTCCAGTAAACTCGTGTTTTGGTAGGTACTTTCTTGAACGCTTCAGTCGTTCAAACTTATAACTTGATTTGATCGATATTTTTTCTAATGATAATATATTTATAAAAAACCTGTTGAAACAAAATTTACATCATGGAAAATTTATTTTGTGGAGTAATTTTCTCTATAAATTCTGGTTAAAAAAGATTTTATTTTCATTAGTTTCATAGATTGTAACAGAACTAAGCAACATTTCTTGGCGCCATTTATTAATTCTGTTCTCTTAACTGAAAGAATTAATTTAACGAAGTCAGAAATGAATTAAATTTCCTTTGTTTAACGTTAAATATAGGTTTATACCAAAGATTCATTGAATAAGTTAAAATCCTATTTAAATATATCAGGTATGGATTAATAAATTCTACCTATTTCAGTTTCTAGTCAGAAAAAATCTTTTCTAATTTGTGATTTAATACCAATCTCCGAAGTAACAAATTAGGTAAAGAAATTTATTTCATTTAAAACAAATGTATTTCCTTCTGAATACATTATCTTAAGCTTTAAGACAAATATCAAAATTTGTAAAACGTTATGTCAGGATTTCATTATGTAACAATAAATTTTAATTTTAAAAAATGTGCATCACTATGTACAGCGTTTATTTATTTTATTACCATCACTATTTATTTTTTTATTGAAGAACTCAATTTGGTTGGTAGGTAGTTTCTTCTATGTCATAATAATTTAATGAAAAAATCAAAATTGCATCACAGAAATATTGTATTAAAATATTTAAAACGTTTATTCTTATTAACATATTTAAATTCTTATTACTAAAAACTTTATGGTTCTTTAATAATAAAGTTAATTTTTTAAGAATTTTTTTCTATTAATCTTGCCTACTCTGTCTTATCAATTTAATTCTAATATTGTTTTAGATCTTAATATATTCTTAATAAATCAATTAAAATTAAAAAAAAATATTTTAATTCCTCTGAGAAGATTTAAATATATAAAACTAAAGTGATTTGTATTAGGAAAGCCATTCAAAAGATAGTAATGTTAAGTCCTTTCTTATTTCATAGAAACTATAATGAACACATTAATATATTTTAAGTTTTGATCCTTATTCTATAAAGATGTCATATTATAAAAAGTGCTTCAATTTTGATTATCTCCAAAGCATCCATAATTGATATACAGATTCTTTCAGCATATATATTTGTGTTAATATATAATTGTTATAATCATAAAAATACAATTAAAATAATGAAGTAATTTGTTTCAGAAGATATTCATCAACATTAGCATATAATAAGCAACGATTACACAGAATCGATAAATGATGTTATTTTGGGACAATGTCCCTTAAAAATAACAAATTTGTAGAGAAAAGAAAGAATTACTTTTGGCCTAAAAATCTTTTGTATATGTGAACAAAACAGAGGAAATTGTGGACTGGTTAGGTATGCTATAGAACTTACAAATTAATTTAAGTTGTGAACATATTTAAGCACTTTACAGCAGAGATGGGAAAATGCTATTTTCAGTATCCAGTCCCCTGTATTTTACTCTTATATTGAATCATTATTGGGAATTCAATCACTACTTCAGTTAATCATTTGACATCAACTGAAGTAGTAATTAAATTCTTTGGTACTAAAAAAGGTTAGTATTTGAGTAAAATACTTGGTACTCAATGTTCAGAGTAGCATTTGCCCAATCTGTGCTTGACAGCATGCAAATGCAAATGAGTCTGCAATTCAGAAAATTGATTTATTCTTAGAATAATATTAAAATAAACATTGTATTCTTAGATAACCATTACCAAACTATATGATTTTACCTTCATATATTTAAAAAATATTTTGGGTTTTCAACATACATTATACAGAATCATTAGTATGTAATACCTCAGAATAATGCTTTTTACATTCATTTCAACATCCTGTTCATTTTTTTACACTACTGAGTTAAGTTTTAGGTTATAAGTAGTCGTGTTTGATTATGTTTATTGTACAGGCCAACATTTCAACCACATAATGTGAACTTCATCTTCAAGGTAAGTGTAAATCGCTGCAGCTCCAAGGAGTCTTTTGAAATATTGGCCTATTGAATAGGCATAATAAAAAATGACTGAGTTCTGATCACTGATTACCCATGATATATAATGTAGTCAAATAAATTTCATTAATTAATTAACTTTCGGTTGACGATTGATAATAATATAGTGGTGTCTATTACTTTTTTTTTTTTTTTTTATACCCCTAAGTAACGCCTGCTTGATCAGCCATGTGTGCTCTTGCAGTCCAATATAATTTTGCACTCCTAGGGTAAGGGCTGTCCATTCCTCTAAAGGAACATCTTATGGCTTGTAATGCAGGGCATGTTCTCCTGTCATCTTTTACACCGATGCAGTGGAGTTGCTTCTGAAGGAAATCATGCCCCGTGAGTATTCTAAAGTATGCCACAACTTGCCCTCTATTAAGGTCTCTAGGGATCCCCTGCCACTTTCTTCCAGCAATCCACTCCATCGCTTCCCTTCAATTGGTTGTGCATATTTCTCCTTCAGTGAACTTTGGAGGATCTGTTTTATAATTCTTTTTGTTGAATCTATGCCCAGAGGAATACCTGGTTGGATCATTCCAGAACCTATTCTGGCCCGTTTGTCAGCTTCATCATATATCAGTTTGTCTATTACTAAATTTCCCTATAACATCAAATATTCATTCTTCAACATCTTGCTCTTACTGAAAGTATGTAAATTATTTTTAATTTTCTTTAGTTAGTTTAGTTCCTCCCATTCGTTATTAACTTTTTTTCCCAACTATTTTGAACACTTTTGTTTTCATATTTCCCATCAGTATGATGAATTGGCAATAAATGAAAAATATAACCCGTTAATTTTTTAATAAAAAATATCTAGATATCTACTCACTGACTTTCCTTTGTGTAAAAAAATTATCTTCCATAATATTGACTTCATTGTCAAATATTAGTCATATTTTTTTGTTTGTTCATTAAGTATTTTTTGTGATAAGTAAAATGAATATAAACTTTGTTTCGATTTATTGGGGAAGAGGAGGAAGGGGTTCAGCCTTTTTTATTTTTATATATATATGTTATTTTATATTTTTTTTTTATTTTTATTTTTACCGACTTTTCGGCCCAAACGTTCAAGCCTTCATCAGGGCTGATCAAATAAAATATTTCGCAATAGGTCTAGCTTATATTTTTTATTTCTATAAAAAATCGTATTTGAGGGTTTTAAAAGAAACTCAAAACATATCTACAAGAATATTGCTTTTTCATAACAAAAATGTACTTGGTCTAGTTTACTAGAAGCGTCTTTTGTTTTGTAATTAACAATACAATGCAATTCATTCAATTCTATATTCAATATTTTTTTCTTTATCGACATAAATAAAATAAATCTTGTTCTTGAAGGTCGTTAAATTTATACATATATGACATGAGGGCGGGGTGGCCGAATGGGCTAACGCGTGTGCACTGCACCGCCGTTGCCCGGCAACGGGATATATGATTCTATGATATGAAAATAGTCACGAGTTCGCGTCCCGGTCCCAGAGGGGATTTTAAATTCCCCGCCCTTACTCTCTGGTCCGGGAAAATCCCGTATAGCCTAAAAGGCGAGGTAGGAAAGAACAGGAAAAAAAAACATATATGACATGTTTTCTCGAAAAGAAGATGTAAAAAAGAAGATGAATGTAGACATTTATTTGGGAATAACTTAAAAATTACACATATTTTGATAAAAGATGAAATTCCTAAAAGATAAAATCCTAAAAAAAAACCACAATTCATCAAAATCGAACGATTTGCTACAGAGATAAGGCGTTTTAAACTTTTTGTATATGTTCTAATGCCTAACTGATCTTCCTTTTTGTTTTTTGATAACTCGAAAACGTTACATCTACCGAAGCCCTTGGAAGTGTCATTTGAAGAATAATATAGTTGTCTATTTTTCTTAACTAGAAATAGAAAAAAAAATTAAGCAGGCCAATATTAGGAAATAATAAACCACTATGTGACCACTATTGCTGCATTTTGAGTTTTACGGAATATAATTATTACCTTAAAATCTGTTGAAGTCTTCGTATCGAAAATTGAGTTCGTATTATTGTACATTATATATGGCAATGTATATATAATATGTGTGTGTGTGTGTATTTTTTTAGTATGTATAATGTGTGTTATTTTGGCTTATATAGACTATAGATAGAGAGAGATTAAGGGCTGTAATAACGAGAATTACAAAAGTTAAGCTTTTCTGTATAATATCGGAATTTAAACATAAGTTCTAGTTTTCGAATGGTCGAAGATAAGATAGTAAAGTAGTATAAATTTTTGAATAAAATTTAATATTCAATAACTTTCTACCTTCAGCCCGAAACCTTTTTTTAATAAAAATAACGATAACTACTTTGGAAAAAAAGAAAGAAACTAACTATCTTTATGAAATGAGGTTTGAGTAAAGCCCTTTTAAATGTAATTACACGAACAATAATACTTTAAGAGATAATTTTTTAATATTTTTTTCGATAAAACTTGGTTATATTTTACTATTTGGGGGGGAGGGGGAGGAGGGGCTTCAGCCAGGAAGACCTCTCTCTCTCTCCCCCCTCCCCGTAGATCCGCCCGTGATTCTGTTACATCGTTATCGCTGTATCAGTTTCACTGATATAAGGGAAAAAGTGAAATTTTTTAATCATAAATTAATTTTTTCCACTTTATATCCCCGTGGATGTAGTAACAGAATATTTCATGTCTTGAACAGTAAATACTATAAATGTCAAGGATTGTTAGTTTTCTATATCTATTGGCTCCCTCTATACATGTTTTCTGTCTATTTGTATAGAGTATCTTTCTATATTCCCCTGACCGCCATTTTGAATTCCTGCGGTTATATGCAGACGTGCATTTTTCTCATCAGGCATGTGAACATCGTAAATTTATTAGAATAATCATTAGTAAAGAATAAGTCACGGCTTAGTATGTAACAGACTCACGGACTATTAAGATTATATATCAACTTTTAATTAGCAAGTTGATCAGAAAATATCACATTAAGTTCATTACCTTTCATTTTCCATTTGACTAAGTTGTATAATGTTTTACATCCTTATTTTTTATATATGAACGTTTGATTAAAATTTATTATAACAATTTCGTGTTGAAATCAGCTTTCCAATTTCAAATAAAACATTATTTTAATTTACGAAACTAACAATCGAAACAAAAGATATGTTCGACATTGTTAAATTTTTCATTAAATCGCAATTTTATTTTATATTTTATTTAAAAAGGTATATGATCCAAATTTCTTAATGCTGACGTATTTCACGTTTATTCACTTCACCGTTCCAGGAATATTTAAATTGTTTAGGTAACTATTCTCAATATCTATAATTTCTTCGTTTTATTTATTTTTTTCGCAATTTTTATCGTATTTCCGACTTAAAACCCTTAATTTTTAATGAGTAAAATTTCTCTCACATCTTGGAAAAAACGTCGAACTTTCTTAGTACGAGAGTCCTTGAGAAAAAAATCGACATCATTTGATAAAAACTTTGAAAGCATTTTTTTGAATATTTATAAATTTTATATTTAAAAAGTGAAAGTCTGCCAGTCCAATATTGATGCCTGTAAAAACGGCGGCTGATTTAAAGAATATTAAAGACCAGTAACTTGAGGATCGAAACCTAAAATCCATTGGGACAAATGTGGAAGAAGCTTTTATTTTTTTAACTTGTTTATATGGATTCAGACATGTAAAAAACAAATTGCTAACGCGGACCATCAAGGAAAAACGTTTTACAGTCAAAAAGAGATTTTTCGATCTTTTTTTTATTTTTTCACCTATTACTTCTAAACGGTGGATGAAAGCGAAAAACGTACAGTTTAAGAAATTAAATAACGTTAAATTTTTCGTCGAATGAGTACCTGAACTTATTAATTCGGTTAAGTGGTATGGTCCATAACCACGGTCAACCAACGCTGATGTTTACCAAATTCGTCAAAAATTTCGAAAAAAAATTCGTCAATTACTGTTAATGGTCCTGCGGCTTGTAAACGAGTTTTCGAAAAGAAAACACTCATAAAATAAAAGTTGTAGAGCATCGAATTCCGCGTCCACTGAGCACTAACCGTTTACTACCCAAGACATTAAAAAATGTAGATCAATTATACCTCTCGAATCGGGATTCGTTATTTCTTCATGAAATTAGGTTTTTTTTTTGTATACTTCATTTCTCAAAATCCTTCACTACTCAGAGGTGAAAAAGTCCTATCCAGAATTGTTTAGATTTCCATTCAACTATAATGGCTTAATACCACTATTAATATTATATTCACAATATTTCTCAATTCTTCTTCGGTACATACTATTTATTTTCAAGTTTATTTATTATCAGTCAATTTTACACCAATTTTTAAATTTTGTCAACTTAATGACTACACATCTAATTACGACGTTTCGGCCCGTTGAGCTATTTTCAAGTCTAAATTTTTTTTTCAATTTACCATCATATTCAAACATTACATATTTCAAAAAATATAAAGATTCTTTTTATATACCAGCCACTAAATATAAATGAGACTGATGAAATGTCGGTGACACATGATAAGGTAATTTTAACTTATTTGAATTATTTAATAAGAAAGAATGGAGTAATAATAATGTTATATAATAATTAAAGGTGGACATGACAAGAATAAAAAACTTTATTATGAGTAGACGCATGCAGTTTGCATAAGTGAGAAGGACTAAATACATGATGGGTATTTAGGTATATAAAAAGAATCTTTATATTTTTTAAAATATACTAGTTATTGAAATATACTAGTTTCTATTTCATTTTGATTGGGAACTGCTGCTATTAAATATAATTTGGAATACGGAATAGGTGCAGATTTTACGAGGTGAAAAAATTAGGCAACTATAGGCCTTTGCGATGCTATAAATAAATATTCCATTTATGTGTATTTATGTATCTCACATCGGGCATATATTGAGATAGTTTGGCTCATACCATAATTTAGACAATATATTTTTCACTCGAAGAGCCCAATAAAAGAAATCGGTTGATTAATTCCTCCAAACTTTAGGGTGTTTGAATTGATACTTGACCTTTGATGTTTTAAACTATTACTTGTAAAAAAATTGCACTAAAATATCAACACCTATAATTAACTCCTAAATTAAAATATCAATAGCACATTAGAAAAATTAAACAATCTTTGATGTAGCTAGAATAACTAGACCCAAATTGTTTCACTCACCTCATCCAATTGAAACTACTGTTTTTTTTTTTTTCCCAAAATGTTTTTATTATTTTAACTAATAGATTCCAACCCATATTAGCCTCCTAAAAATATTTGTTATAATTATAGTTATAGAAAATATGAGATGAAAATCCATTAATGCTTTAGGGTATTCTAAAAACATAGGTAGAAGACTAAACTCCAAGTTAATTCCATCATGAGAACAGATTGATGTGAGCAGAATAGGATCTTGCAACAACTGATTATTATATCAAAACATTTTTAAATGTACTAGAACATTATTGCAGTATAATACAATGTTAATTTAATTTCATATCACCACTTTATTTTAAGAATAAAAAGAAAAGAATCCTTGGAATAAATAAAATTCCAACCATTTTTCTATATCACACCATTTTTAAGAATTTTCCTAATTTATTCAGAAGTATTCTTCACTGCTTTCATTTTGTTAAATCTCTCTCTCTCTCTCTCTCTCTCTCTCTATATATATATATATATTATATATAATATATAGAGAGAGAGAGAGAGAGAGAGAGAGAGAGATTTTTAACAAAATGAAAGCAGTGAAGAATACTGTATATATATATATATATATAGAGAGAGAGAGAGAGAGAGAGAGATTTAACAAAATGAAAGCAGTGAAGAATACTGTGTGTGTATATATATATATATATATATATATATATATATATAGAGAGAGAGAGAGAGAGAGAGAGAGAGAGACAGAGAGTGAGAGAGCTATATTCTGTGGAAATGAAGTTCTAACTGTCATTTAAAATAATGCTTTTTGTTACAGAACAAAAAGACCTGTTTTAAATGTTTCCAACAAATTCTCAAGAATTAGGTTCAAGGTACCATATTCACAAAAGCCTTCACCAAATAGTTGAAGAACTTACAACACCTGGAAAAATATTGATACAGTTTAATGGATGGGTGATACTCTTATATATTTGTATATTGTTTATTTATTTTTTATCTTTTTTATTTTTATTTGTATTATATACTTAATAAAAATTTTACTCTTCAACGGTTAACTGTACACATTTCTATTTACAAAAGGACACTAGCAGACCCAGGATTTAATTTTGGGGAGATCGCTTCAGCCCGAAAGCTTTTTTTCATGTATATAACGATAATGATTTTGGAAAAAAAGAAATATACAACTACTTACATGAAATTTTGTTTAATTGATTCTTGAAGTCCTATAAAATGTAATTACACGTACAGTAATGCTGTAATAGATAATTTTTCAATATTTTTTTCCATAAAATATTGTTACATTTTACCATTTTGGGGAGGGGGGAGGGTTCAGCCCCAAAAGATAGCTATGGTTTCAATACTGTCAGTCATAGATATGGTACAGTCATAGTAAATTAAAGAACAAATGAAGGCTCTTCTGCACCATACAAATAGGTCTTACGCGATTATAGTAATTGATAAGGGATTAGTGTTAGTTAAGGGATAGTTGTATAAATCTCTACTTCCTTATCATAATAGTCAGTACCAAACTCAAGAAGGATCTTTGTAAGAATGATGATCTATTGTTTTTCTAAAAAGCATTTTAATAACTTTAATCGTATACGTTCAATATTATATAAATTATAACATTTTTTAAAATATTATTTCACCTTTTATTGAAAAACGCTGTTAATGAGTGCTTCGATTGAAATCAAACAAGATTTTGTTTTAAGTGTGAGATCACAATAGATTTGTTTATCATTTATTTTAAACATAACATGATTTTTCAACCATTAAACATGATATGTTTAATTATAAAGTTTATTATGTATGGTTTTAGAGAAATGTTTGTCAAACCTTGGATTACATATTTGGTCATTGCTATGACATTTTTGATGAGCTGTCTGGTATATCATTAGAATTTGAAGGACTTAGTCAAGTTGTTGGATATGTTTATTCGGCTGAAAATCTCAAGAAAAAAGCTCTTCTCGGAGGGACAATAATAACCACCACTTCCTTCTATACATTGTAAGTAACCTGATCATTTCTGTAACTAATATTAAGAATATGAGATGAACTAAAAAAAAGGAGAAAGGGAAAAACAAGAAAATGGTAACATTTGGTACTTGGGCATGATAGACACATAAAACTTTATCTTTTTGTGTTGATTTCTTAAATACTATCGATTAGACTGTGTCTTTTAGCAACTTAACACAGTTGAACAATTTCATTGTACTTTTCAAAGCTCGTGAAGGAGTTAATAGTGTCTAAAATATTTTAAAGAGCAGGGTTTAGTAAATAGAATAGGTAACGAATTTGAAAACGGTGTTAGTTTAAAGATGATTTTGTAAATATGGTAGTTTCATGGTAACTGTTGATTAGGGATTATTTACTTAATTTTTTTAGGGTTTCAGAAATGTAAATGGATATTACACAGATAAAAGAAAGGATTAAAATAATTGTACTTGAGGTTCATGTCATCCACTCAAAGTTTTTTAAACCAAAACTTTCCAGCCGTCTGTGTGGAAATAGAATCTTCCTCACTAAATCAATCAATTTTCTGGAAGACATTTTGAAATCTTAAAATATTTTTCAACGTGACAGCTATAAATTTCAAGTTATAATTTTGCTTTTTATTTTACAATACCGAATTAATCCAACCATTTATTAGATTTATCTATCCATAAACTAAATTAAATTAGTTACTGTAACTTGAGGTAACCTGAATCCAGTAACAGGTTTCTAGAACCCCTACTGGAAAATCTTTTAAATTACACCCACATCTGGTATTTTGAAAATACAGAGAAAATTCACAATCTTTACAACAGAAAGAAATCCTGAGATATTCCACCATGTCCTCACTACTTTTTTTTCAATTCAAGTTCACGTAATTCTCTAAAGGTCCAATAAGCCCTAAGTTACTTATCTTTGAAATAATTATTTGGAATAAGAAGTATTCAATAAACACACTCGTTTTTGTTTTCAAACTAATTTAAGGAAATATCAGAGTTTTTTTCCTTTTTAGCATGGACTTGGTTTAATTTGTATTAATTAATTTGATTTTTCTTGATAATTATTGATTCCAAAAACTCAAACTGGATGAAAAATGTCCTTTCTTAGGCAGCATTAGATATTATAATTTATTATGTAGGAGATAATATCCATTGTTATAACTTATTGTGCATTTTATTTCTGATTGTACACCAAACTTCAATGATATTTAAATTAATATCATAATTATAATCCTGCCTTCTGCTATAGACCATCGATAAATTACTTTACTGGATTCATCAATCAATTATTAAGCTAACTCATTTTTAATGTATATTACAATAGTTTTTTAAATATTCTTTTATTAATGAGCTGTATCGTTAATTTAATTAAAGTGATTGTATATGATATACAATTAAATGGTTTTTAATATCAGATGGTTCTTGTCCTCATTGAATTCTCTCTAAATGGCTTCCTCTACAATACTTTTAATGTGGTTTATTTGAAGAGCTCAGAATAAAAATATGTCAAGCCAAATGTTGAAATAGAAATTTTTCATTTTCTAACTTTTGAAAATTTTATAATTTTTATTTAATATTTTATAATTCCACATTTCATATTGTTATTAGTAAATGTAATATGTTTCAAAATTGTGTATTAGAAGTTTGTTTGTATTAAAATTTCACTGTTCTTTGATAAAAAAAAGTCTTCATTGAAAAGGCATACATTTTGTGACTTGTCACGTTTTTGATTAAAAGTAAATAATAAGTTATTTTGAGGGAATGCACGATAATTGGAAAAATAAAAACTTTTTTTTTTTAGAAATCATAAACAACGTTATCATTTCATTTTCTACAATTACTATTAGTATTTAAAAAAAATAAAAATAAAATTCACCAGATATTTTTCTAAATTAATTCAGTTCCTTAGTCCATATTCATTTATTTGTTTAATATAAGGGTATTCGAGTATTATTGTAAATCAGAGAAATATAGAATGGTAGAGGTGATCTAGTATATTGAACTTGATTCCACTTATTTTTAGTGTAGCCAATTTCAAGAGATAATTTCAGTGAATTTAAGTGAGTCATTTGCTAGCGGGTCAGCTCTAACAAACTTCATTTCTTTGAAGTATCCATTTACTGTATATTTAATGAAAAAAATTGATGGTTTCTTAGTAGTCAAAGGAAATATTACATCAGATGCAAAATCCACTGCTGTCTCACATGTTGTTATTTTTTGCATTGGTCACATTTTATGAGGAATTACTTAAATTTGTAGTATTGGTTTGTCACGATTTGGTTGTGGAATAAGTTTTTCTTATTTGATTTTCTTATTACATCCATCAGAATTCTGCAAGCTAAAAGTTGCTAATTTTGCCTTAGCATTTTCTATTACTACCTAATATTGATCATTCTGAGTATTAAAGAGTCATGAATCATATCAGTGAAAATGGTAGTGTGATAAACATGAATGTTTTCTGTTATATATTTCATCCTAAGAACCATTGTAGCTCAATTTTTATTCTGTCCTGGGCAGTTATTAAACTGCATGAAAAAAAAAAAATGAATTTGATTTTATCAGTTTTGCTACCAATAATTATGAAAACTTTGACAGCAGTAATATGACGTCTCAAATTATTCATCTTTGATCCAATATCCAGTAGTAATAATCAGAGTAATAATAATCACAATTAGCATTTTTCACAAATACCTAGTATTATTAAAAATTGTGAGTGGTCCCATTCATGTCCTCTTCATTTGAAATAATTAACGGTCTCTTGTGGTTAGTAATAATAATAAATGGCTAAATATAAGCTATGAAAGAATTTGATAATTATGGAAAGAAAAAAGTAGAGAAGGTCATAGAAGGAAATGGAGAGGGTGATGAAAAAATTATGAATAATAATTTCTGAAAACTAGTATTATTTTATGGAAACTAGGCATCTTGATGGAACTTTCAAACTTTTACTATTATTTCTAAGCTTGACAAACCAAAATTATATGGAATATGTATGGCATTGTTAACACATTATTTTGTTGTACTTATATGAAATGTGAAGTAAACATGTCACTGAAAATATTTCAAGCAGCATTTAGGGTAAACACACCAGTAATGGACATAGCTAAGGAAATTTTAGTCTTTTTTGGCTTATGCCGCTGTAATTATTATAGCTATAAACTTCTCCGTTGGACATTGAGAATCTCTAGGGTCTCCTTTTTCTATGCAGGTATAATCATCATTAAAAAAAAACACCTTTTTGCACTAGTGATGGAGATCCCGAAATTCAAACTATACTAGTAATGGACAGGGGGTCTTCAAAAATTCTAAAATCTATGAAGCCGTGCATGGTAGGTAGATGATAAATTTTACAATAATTTTAATCAAAATGCTATGTTATAAATAAAAAATTATATTTAAATAATCAAATAGAAACTAATCCTGTTTGTGCAAAAATTATTTTTTTTTTATGAGATTGGTAAATGAATATTGTGTATTGCACACTACAGCAGATTTTTTTTTCTGGGGTGGTATATTGTTTGTAGAAAAAGACAAAATAACTGATAAGATTATCCAAGGGAGGAGCTGAAAAAATACAAACATTTTATTTCATAGTAATTTTAATTGATACAGAAAAGAGAATACATTTTTATGAAGTACATAGGTTTTAGAGTATCCAATATTAATACATGGCAAATAAAAAATTAGAATATTTTAAGTAAATATGATTTCAGAGACAATGAAAGAAATGGGGAGCTGCTAGAAGGTTTAGATGACTTGGATCGGAACCTTAAAAAAATGAAGGTTTGGGGCTGTGATTTTGTAATACTACAAATAAAGTTGAAATGTTACAAACCTTTTGGAGCGAGGCGGGTCCCGTTTGACAATTCAGAGTATTTTGGAATATTCTCAGCAACTACTCAAGCTCTAGGGTAAATAGAAAAATGATCAAATTTGTCTTTCCCCTTTTGATTTTTGACTCTAGTCCCTCATTTGATATTCTTCTTAGAATGGTTCCAATCATTCAATTCCAATATGATATATTGGAAAGCGGTGAAGAAGCCTGCTCGAGTGCCTTTGTCGATACAATGTACACAATTAATCACTCACTTTTTGATTTTGATGTGGACATCAGCTGCCTACTTTTCAGCCCTTTGATAAATTATTCTCTGAAGGCAGTAAAAGATCATGTCATGGAGAGAGCTGAAACTCTGATTAATTCCTTGAAACAAGCGGTAATGTTTTTGAAATTCATATAACATTTCAATATTTCTTTTAACGATTCTTTGTCATGTTAAACTACTAAAATCTATTTCAGATGGCTTACAACTCAGTCGGGTACATGCAGATGATTATAACATTAATTAAAAATAAATTACATAACTCATATATAGTTATATGAACAATATTTTAAAATTTATTTTTACTTTTAAAAATGCTACTTAAAACAACAGATTTATAATAATAGGATTTTATTAATTTATAATTCGATGATTCATATCTAACTTAATTCCTACACTCTCAGTTCAAGTAATTTCTACTAATCAATTTTAACTAAAAAATCTTTGATACAAAATATCATAATTTCATAGTTGTGATGATATAATAATTATTAAAACTTATTTTTATTTCTCCAATTTAGAATGTTTCACTTTCAGTTCAGTTCTTTATAACAACCTAATTTATTACTACTTTTTCAAAAATATTTAACTACAATCAGAAAAATCTGCCGTTTAGAAAAGGTTTGATAAATAAAGATTTGCTGATATAAGGTGTTTCTTCTGTATCTAATAAAAGCATTCATATTATTCTATAAAATAAAATAATAACAAATATTAATTTATTGATTATAATTATAATAAATTGTATTTTTATATTATGAATTGCATAGCTTTTATTCAATTTATGGCTCTGCTGATTTATAAGTTATATTATTTGGCCATATTATTCTATTTCTCTTAAAGAAACAGCTTATTTATTCAGTTAATTTATTTTAATTCGTTACAAGTAAAAATTTATAAAAAGCTACTAATATAATCTACCAACAGCTGCCTCCTGCAGTCGGTGGTGTTGTTTTTGCTTCGCAGGGCAGTTATAAAGCTCTTGGTTTACAAATTGACCAATTAGCAAAGATCATCAGTAGGGTTCCTTGGCCCATTATTTGCTGTTACGGGTGGAAAATCTCTACTGTCCTAGACTCAGGTAGCTATTAAGAAATAGATTATATTTATTTGGATAAGTATTTAAACTGCTGTAAATCTGTTTTAATCCTCAACAATATAGAAAATGTCAAAGGTTATAGCTGAAAAGACCCCTATACAAAACATCAAATTTTCTAATAAAAAATATCATGACACAGAAAAAAGCACCATGGCACATGGCTAGTAAAAATCTACATAATTTTCAAGAAATTACAACTATTAACTTACTTGCAATATGTGAAGTAGAGAAGGAGATATCTTACCTTCACTAACTGATATAATTAAATCAAACCCAGAAAGAGGTGCTACTGATTAATTTCTGTTCTATACCTAATATTTTGTTATCACTATATCTATATGTTTAGACAATTTACTGATTATCAACACTCTTGACAAGTAAATTGATATATGCCTATTTTTTAGTGAAAAAATATTAAGACAGAATACAAAAGCTCTTTAGGTGATTAGAACCAAATCATGCGAACCACTTAAGCTTCTATAAAATTTAATTAATTATGTAACTCCTTTTTCTGCAAGTTTTATTAATTATTTTTTCTATAGATACGGAAAATTTAGTACTTGAAAAATGGGTACAAAAGCAAAGAATGATTATAAAGATGCTGTTGCAAGCCTCAGCAGGTAAACTTGTCTCATGGCAAGGCAAAGTTACCGTTGATATACCGGATTACATATCGTCTCATGACTACTACGACAAGGATTATGTAGAAGCAATAATGATAGATCCTCCTGAATAGTGTATATTACATTATGCCATTGAGATTAAAATAAATTTAAATCTACCTTCAGTCAATTTATTTATAGGTTAGATTTATAATAATTATCATTAGAATTTGAACCATTGTCAGAAACCCAATAGATAAAAATATTGTCAATTAGTTAAGTTAATATCTAAATTTCCAATTCCTCATAATTTTCTATATACTTTTCACATTTGATCAGAGAAAATATAGCGAGTGCAACAGTGAAGTACTAGACATACATGAGGTCTGGTTGTGACAATTTTTTGGTATATTTTTAGGCTTTGGATTGATTTAAATGATTTCTGACTTCAGCATGAGTCTAGAAGTTTATTGTATTCAAGAATAAAACTAAAAATTTTCATTGTTTTATCTACCTACCATCAGAAAAACATTGTATTTACTTCTTTTAAAGTTAGAAGGTATTATTTTCCTTAGTTGGGTGTCCTCAAACGTTCTGTTTAAAAAACTTGTAAGGTTTGCTTAAAGTGAGCTTGTTACATATCAGGCAGGCTTCAGAATAGGAAGGTCTCAATAATCCTTATGTTTTTGATCAGATTCGTCCTGGGGAAGACCACTGAATTCAAGATGGTCAATGACCATTTATTTGAAGACTAAATCAATCTATGATGGTTTTTATAGGATGAAATTACAACAGGTTTTGAACAAATTTAGAGCCCCACTGAAACTGAATTGTGAAAAAAAAGCATACTCAAGTATATTGTTTGTGTGGAATGAGATCAATTGGGTTTATTTGTTGCTAATAATATATTAAAACAAGAGGATGCCTTTGGATGTTTTATTTTTAATTTAGCTTCATAAATAACTGTTCGAATACAGTTCGAATATGGTTCGTATTCTGTTTTAATTTCTAACTAGTGGCAAGCTCCGCTGAAGATTGTCCCACCCTAAGGCAATACTGACACCAGAAATGGAACATTTATTGCTCAGGACAGAGCCGTTTTGCTCTTGGAGGAGGTCAAGACTCATTTAAATGGGTTATCGAGCCACTGATGTATGTGTGCCTTTTAAAGTAAATTAAATTTTCTAATAAAAAAAATTGAGTTGTGACCATTGCTGGATTATCCTCTTGGTTAACTGCCTGTGAGAAACGCGCTCCCCGAGAGGCCCCTGTGTTCGATATGCAAAATACGTTGGAGTAATTTTAATTTAATTTACAAAGATTTTTAAAATATTTATTACTGAAGTTACGTACTTATTTTTTATTAAAGATGAAACTCAATTGTATTCACTGGTAAACACAACTATTCCAATGCTACCTTTAACTGCAGTATAATTTCAGAAGGCATTTACAAACAACTTCACACACTTCCATTATTTAGTTTGGCTGCACAAATTACTTAATTTAAATCTTTTAATTTCGTTTAAAAATGTAGCAATCTTCACTAAAACACCACAGCTATTTAAAATTTAGGCTAATTTGTTCTTATTTTATTTTTATCTTTGTTTTCTAATATAGGTGCATTCTATTTCAAACAAGCCTACTTACTCTTTTTTGATAATTCAATATACTTTAATATGTAATTATATATATTCTTCAGTATGTAATTCATATTCCATGAATGATTCTTATCTTGATTACATTAATATTTGATTGTTATAAGAAATATATTTCTTTTTTAATATTCAATTTTCCTTTAATTTCTATAGCTGGGATAATATATTTCTTTGATGTCAATTGGGCGAAAAATTCTCCACCATTTTAGTACTTAAACGAAATTTCTCGCAACTTTAATTTAAACAGTAACCTTGTATTTTTAATGAAATATTTAAATATTCTCAGTTCTTTTGGATTTTGAATTTTAAGTTACTCTTTTCTTTCTTTCTTTTGGCCTTTTATTTATTTATTTTTTTTAATAAAGTTCGTAAGCCGTTAAAGTTGGTAATAGTCAAGTGGTGTTCTCTGGAACCGAATTATTTATATGGAGATTGTATTGTATATGTGGCTATGGATTTGTTTCAACATTATTCTGAAATATAGTTTTGGTATAATTTTTGTAAAATATATAAATCTTGGAAGGATAATAAATAAATAATAGGATTTCTGTCTATTTCAAGAAATGCTAATGAAAACAAGATAAACCGATACGGAATCATTAGACATTCCTTTCTAATTCTAATAGTTGAAGCTCCATTTTTACCTAATGTGGTTCTCCTTTGAAAGTGGAGTGAAAGTTTCATTACATAGATTGTTCGAAGTTAATAAATTACAAACAAAAAAAATAATAAACTATTGACATAAAAAAACAAACGAAAAAACAATTATATGACATGAAGTACCGACCTGACAGATACTCAGAGTTAAGATAAAACAACTGAACGATTCGGACCTTACTGGACGAAAAAGAGGATTAATCGATTTCGAGTTCTAAATTGCTACGAAAAACAGTAGTGAGAGTAAGCACTCATAAGTGAATCAGTCAATCTTCCATAATTGAAACATTAATTCTGAAAACAATAATCAGATCCGTGATCTATAACTATATTCTCTGCAGGTATGGACTGTTCACTTCGTTACGGATTGGTATTTAAAATATATGTTTCAGGTTAAGATCCAGATCTCCAGATCAGTCAAGAGAAGTGGATCAGTGCGGGTAAATCGAATTATTTATATAACCAGTTTATAACTGGGACCATACTTTAAATAAAAAGTTCCAACTTTTGATGAGAACTTAGTGACTATTTTTCTATATTTAGAAAAATAATACCGAGTCTTTAAATTTATATGCCCTGACTTGAAATGTTTTTGGCTAATGCGAGAAGCCTCAGATTTAAGGAAGGTACAATAAAGTAAAGAGATCTTTATACTTGGTTCGAACCGATTTTAATATATATATATATTTTCAAATGGTCTAAAAATCTCATGTTCTTATCTACAGTTATCTTAAAGTATTCAATATGTCTCTAAACAATTTTTGAATATTCTCAATATTTTCGGGAATTTCCGTTTACCTTTATGAAAATTTGAACTCTCAATGGACAAACAGAGGAACGTAAGGAACACTGGTGTGACCCTTGATTTTTGACGATGTCGTGTGGACTTGGATGTAATGAAAGTGATTAAGCTGTACCTCTTTTTCTTTTCTTTGAAAAGATTACAGCAGTTCCAGAATATAATTCCTTCTGTCTCTTGGGAATGAAAATTGCATGAATTAAAAGGCTGATTTACAGATGGAGAATTCTTGAAGAGGAGTCCTATATATTTATTTGAAACATTAATTTTCTTAGAAAAAATCTTTATTTTAAATATTATCATAATATTTCCTCCTCATTTCCTGAACTTGGGCATGACAGATTGTTTTAATAGGATAAGATACTGTTTAGCTTTAAGGAAATCTAATAGATTGATGAGTCCCATCTTCAGGATGTCCATTCATCTAAAAAACAGCTTAATGAACACCACTAGCGGATCCAGGATTTAATTTTGGGGGGGCGGCTTCAGCCCGAAACCTTTTTTTTCATATGAATAACGATAATTACTTTGGAAAAACCGAAAGAAACTAACTACCTATATGAAATGGTGTTTAAGTTATTCCTTAAGTACTTTTAAACGTAATTACACGAGCAGTAATACTTTAAGAGGTATTTTTAATTTTTTTTTCCCATAATACATGGTTATATTTTTCCATTTTGGGGGGCTTCAGCCCGAAAGCTCCTCCCTCCCGTAGATCCGCCCGTGATGAACACTTTTTTTTTCAACAAATACTTAAGGCACACCTTTCGGTACAGAAGAAGGAGAGAACTAGAAATATAATTAGTTCCAGTCAAGATAACGGTAATACTTCACGTGAGCCACCCCAACACGGCGAATGGTTCCCAATAATCACAACTTGCTGTTTATCGCATGCAGAAAGCACCCGTGTCTGCCACTGACGGTCATTCCAAATGGAACGATGAAATCAAAGTTTAATTAGTTCAAATTAATTGGGATCATTAATAGCTGATAAATAATCAGGAAGCAATCATTTTAAGATTTTTATTGTTGCCCAAATGACAGCTTTCTGATTATTTATCAGCTATGAATGTCGAACAGTCGACTAACTTCCTTCAATAATTGATGGGATCATTAATGATTCTTTCAATAACAGGGCGGGGAGGCCGAGCGGGATAACGCGTGTGGAAAACACTGTCTGCCAACTTGATGAACCGAAGAATAGGAGTTTAAATCTCGATACCGGAGAACTTTTAACTCTGGCATTGATTCCCCGTCCTCTCCTCTAACATCTCAGGTCCAAAAAAAAAAATCTTGAAACCGAAAAGGTGATGAAGAAGGAATAAAGTAAAAGATTTTTTTGATTTATTACTGAATCAATTTGATTAACCTTGCAGGTCAATGCCGCTCGCTACGATCCTTCCTGACATAAACAAACCCTTGCGAGAAAATTTAAGTTGAATTCGGGCTTACTATTTCATGTTATTGGAGACTATCTGCTCTCAAGTGGTAGCTTTTGTGAAGTCGTAAAAATAAATCTAAAATGTATTAATTAGTCAGTAAACAAGCCTTTAGAAATCTCTTATTGCTTTACAAGTAACCTGTAACGATTAAAATATATGTTTCCTACCCTAGGTAAGGGACAATATTGAGTATTCTGATGTACCTCTCGGTTCTTGGCCGTCACAATGAGGAAGAGTATTGGTGTGGCCAGGACCGTTAGCTTGCCCGGGATTCTTTGAATCTTAAGTAGCCAATGTCGGCGTTCTTTGGTAATAGCTTCTGCCTGATTGCCACTCTTGGCTAAAAATAAGGTCTCGTAGCGTCAATTCTTGTTGATAGCCTATATCCACGTGCTAGTTCCATCGGCAGAACTGTGCCAGCTAAATAGGGGACGGATTGTCTAGTTCTTTCAAACTGGTTTACAGGCAACTTATCTAGAGGTTTTAATAATTGTTATTTTTTTTTAAAGTAAGGTCATGTTTGACAAATTTCATTTCAAATAGGAACTAATATAGAAAAATTAAATCACGGTTATGAGATGTCCTTTATGAAGCATGTACCCTAAACAGTGTTGTTTTAAAAATCAGC